GTGTAAAGAACAGACTAAAAGATTTGCTGGTGTCTCTTGAGGATCTGTGAACAGATTTTTCTCCTTTTTTAAAAAATCTTTCTGACATTATTTGTTAGCTTTCAGTATTTTGTCTCTTTGTGACCTACTTGTTGAAATCAGATGATTCATCTGAAGAGGCTAACCTTGAAACTTCAGCCGTCTGTTTATTAAGTCGTTCCCTCTCTCTCTAGCTGATGTCTCTGAGGTTAAAAGTCCACTCTCACATTCCTCTGCTAACATGAAATTATTTGCCCTCTAACTGAATTTCAGGCGTTTTCTCAGCTGTGGGAGACAATTGGATCGATTCATGGCCTCCTCCTCCCCTCACTGCCGTCACATTTCCATGCTCAAAGACTGAAAAACATGCCTTGTTCGTCCTTACACATGCCATCTTATTTCAAATAAATGCAGAGATTTAAGGTCTGAATCCAGCACAGAGAGGCAGAACATAGAGCAAGACATTCAGGACAACAGGAAGAGATAGAAAACACATGTGAAAAAAAGCCCCTACAAACATCACGAATGTGTTTTATACTGGAGCTTCAACTAAACTTTGACTGGCTTTTGCAGAGTAGATTAAAATTTGTATTGTTGCACATAAATAAATCTTAAACAGATTACAGTCACTGGGAGTTAGCCATTGCTGCAGAAAGTGTCCTGCCTGCTTTTTCTCTCCATACAGACCGATTGGTTGATGTGACCTGCAAATATAGATTCAAGATTCAAAAGATGCCGTCCCTCTCTCCTCGAAGTCTAAGGTCTGAAAGTAACACCAGCCAAATGCAGGTGGATTTTCTGTTTGGCTTTTATTTTTAGAGGTGTATGTGCCTGCCGAGGTACACACAGAGTACTTGGCAAGCAGAAGAATAACAACTCCCAGTTTTACAGTGAAAATGACCTACTCTGGTAATGTCTGGTTGAACAAAAAGGTTGAAAATCAAAGTCCACCTGATGTGATCCTCTCTGCTATGCTGACAAGAACTTAAAACCACAATCTGAGTCTGTGGCTGACAAAAATATCTTGTGGAGGGCGTGTTCACGCGTTGCTGCCAGCTGAAAATACCTGCAGAAGCCATTTGACATTATTTTCTTCATATGGCCAAACAGAAGAGTAAAACCAGGTGGAGTTTTAAAAAGCTGGTACTCTCTTTAACAGAACAGAGTCACTTCTGTCTGTCTTCAACAAAAATAATTTATTTCCAGATTTGGTACCGAATTAAAAATGAAAAAAAAAAATCAGTGAAACTGTTGGTCTCTGTCTCAGTGTCGTCCCGGAGAGGAAAGTGTAAAATTGTCTCCTTTTTTTTCTTTAATGAGCAGATATAATCGTCTTCTTCCCAGCTGTACGCCTGCTGGCGCTACTAACAGATGGAGCGCTTTCATTAACTGGATCACCAGCAGAGCACACACAGACACACACACACACACACACACACACACACACACACAAAGAAGAGGCAGAGTGCAGAGTCACACAAAGTGAAAAATATAATCATATTATTATCCCACAAACTGCACTGCTGTACACACAGTCCACACACAACAAACACGCACTCCACACAAAGTACAGTAAACACACATGCACAAGACGCACAAACACATGATCAAAGCAGCAGAACACAAACATGATGTGACAGCTGTACAGCAAACAGGCACATGTATGCAGGCATGGACACACACACACACACACACACACACACAGACACACACACACACACACACACACACACACACTGATGCTGACATGGAGAAGAGCTAATACTATTACTAAGCGCTGTAAGTACTAAGAGCTTGTTTACGTTTTCTGTTTTAAAGATTTGTGTTGTTAAAAAGTTAATTTGAAGTGAAGTTTTTATTTATGTTAAATTAAGGGCTTATAGCCTTTAAACCAGATATATGAAGTTTGGATGTTGCTCAGTTACTCCTCTGAAAAGACTAAGACAGAGAGAGAAGAAGCTGCTTCAGTTTTGAGTCTGTGTTCATTGTAAGAAAATTGCTGCAAGGATCAAAATTCAAAATCTAATTATCAGAATCTAACTTAAAAAAAAAAAAGAAAGAAAAGCTTAACAGGGTCAATTTGATCTTATTTTATTTTAAGACCTTGATGCTATTTTGTTATCAGTAGGTATTATTGCCTGTTCAGGGTGGGATATTTACTGCACAGCCTCTGATCAGCTGACAAAGGTAGTGACAGCAGTGTAACGGGGTGGCAAGAGTATCTGGTGTCGGAGCAGGCAGTGTGGAACAGCAACGTGTCTCAGAGGTGAAAATGTGTACTTTTTCAGCAACACAGCCAAGGTGGTCTGCATGCTCACCCCATATACAGAGGTTACAATCCTTGTCCTGGAAGCCTGGGTTCAGTGCAAACCTGTAGCTCTTTTTCTGCGAGACATTCCTCACTTTCTCCTCTGCTTTCTCTTTCCTGGTCTATATGTTGAGTTATGCTTAAAAGGAAGCTATCATGCTTTTCCACATTAACAACAAAAACTGCAATGTTACAAAGTTTGGTTTCCATACTACATGTATGCAAAGTTTCAAATCACACGTATTTTATCTTAAAGATGGGGTGGGCAAGATCTGAGGACGTGGCAGTTTTTGGGAGAAATCTTGAACATTACCCCCCCCTCCCCTCCCTCTCTGCTCCAGCAAGCCCCGCCCACAAACTGACGCTAGCTTGTATAATTTAAATTCAATTCAGTATTTAATTTGAATTCAGCATTCAATAATGTAGGTAAATATTTCAGATAATTACAAACGGGGTCCAGCCAATGTTAAAGTAAAAAGCATTGGTGCTACTGTAGATGCCAACAGACTACCAGCAAACACAATGTTTGCAGAACTTCTACAACTATGATAAAGTGACATACTCCAGGACCTGAGGTAAACAGTTGAGCAGCGCTACAACCTGCAGCAGGTTTGACAAGAAACACTTCTGTTACAGACACTTGGCTTACTTTGTTAAAGAGGTTTATCTGTCCAGCAGAAAGGTTACAGGGTCCGTAAGATCCCGAAGTGTCCCCCATCGTTTATGCTGATGTTGACCCGGCTTCTCTCTTGTCCGGTCTACCTCCGTTTTAAGCGCCCGTTATTCCGCCAGAGTCTCCAGTATTTACTTTGTTTTCTTGCTTGTGTTGACAGTCATGGCCAAAGGAGGATTCAGACAATTTTCTGTACTTTCTGGTTGGTTTCTACTGTCTGATATTGTGGCACGCTACCTTTGTTTGGGCTCATGCACATTATTGGAGGATGTGGAGCTTTCCTCACAACACAAGAGAGCACCGTCTGCCTCACAACCAATCAGCACTAAGGAGCAGCGCCCCCCTCACAACCAATCAGGTTGGGGGAGACGGAGAACTGCTGTGTTTACAGTCAGAAAGAGCGGGCCGCTCAAAAATTTTTAAATGCTGACTACACAGCGGCATCGTTTTATTACCAAATATCATCAATCATCACTAATAGCTATTGATATTAAAAGCTTTTTTGTATATACACCACGATAAAAGATGCTTCTTTAATGGAATCCTGCCTATCCCACCTTTAATCTTAGAAAATAGATGTAAACTGATCAAATTTCAGACAAACGGGCAAAAAATATGAGACCATACATTCTGTGCAAAATTTACTAAAATTCTTGCGTAAGAATTAGACTCTCTTTACTAGTTCATTTGTGCTTGCGGCAAAGCGGAATGGCCTGCCTCCAACAGCGTATGAGGTGACATCATAGACTATCTATACTCTGGACAACTTGACTCCACCTTCCGTCATATTATGAATTTGAAGCCCAATAGCTCTTGGCATTTCCGGGATTTTCTCCACTTTCTGGAACCACCAATGGAGCAGTGGTGTTGTACACATTTGGTGTGAGATGCGCGTGATACGCAGCCTTTATACGCCCATAGGCTGTATCAAGTGTCAATCATAGAAAACGTGAACCCCCTAATAACTTTTAAAATTGGAGCTGCACAGAAAAAAGAGGACTTGACCACAAACCAGTCTTAAAGTAGCTACATGTCAACATCGCAACCTGCGGGGAGAAAATTTTATATTCTGTGTAATAAATTTCTAAAGTTTGTTATTTTCAATTTTGTTAACCAGAAAATCAGATTTTTCTGAATAAACTTGGGGCTTAGTGTCAGAAAGCAGAGACAGAAATAAACACAGAAGCAGGTCCAGTCAGGGAGGTTCAAATGGCTTTTGTCTGGTCATTCATGTCTGTGCTCACACTGAGACCTACACACCTCCTACTGACAGTCAATGAGAACAACATCCACTACGCATGGACACACAAACAAACACATAGGCAGCTCGTACTGCACCGTTAATCCCTGCTAAGTGTATTAGCAGTGTCACCAATTGCAGTGACTCGGCGTTCTTCAGACACGTGGGCGCGGCACGAGATCCAACACGCAAATCTGCTGTAATACACAAAGTAAAGCCTGCACTCATTCACTCATGCACAAACACACACACACACACACACACACACACACACACACACACACACACACACACACACACACACACACACACACTCACAAAGCATTACCTGCGACTGAGAGGCGACAGGTTGATCCACTCTTAAGTGTTGACATCTCCAGTTTGAAGGAATTTAAACCTAATGAAATAAAAACTGAATAAAAACTATAAAAAAGGAAATACTTCTCTACAGTTTGGTTTTCACGGAATTCCTAAATGTTTTCTTATTGAATTTAGAAAAATGACGAGAACACATGAGCTACGTTTTGACTCTTTTGCATCATTAATACAAATTTAAAAAACACCTTTATGAAATCTGAAAAATCTGTATCCATCAAAATGACTCTTTGGAATTATGTACATTTCAGCAGAAAACGCTTAGTTTGCAAACAGTTTGTTCCCTAACAAAACAATCCAGACAATACAAATAATTCATGCATGACTTTATTTTTTTAACATGTGCAAAAGCAAAAAAAAAAAAAAAAGAAAGAAAAGAAAAAACAGCCATGAACAAAAGCAAGTACAAAAGGTGAAATGTTTTAGTTGGCAGTAAATTTACCCAGCTCCTTTTTTCATGATTTTGTTAAAACAATAAAATGAATCTTTATCATCATCAAGCAGAAATCTTTCCCTGAGAAAAAAAACGCAACACATTAAACTCCACTAAAGTCAAGCTACTCTTCAGTCACTAAAATGCAAAATATTTTACAAGGCAGCACCGACTTTTAATGTCTTTAAACCTGGGCAGATTTAATTGAAACTTCAGGAGATTTCTACAGAGACAGACTTTGATTTTGAGGGGGAAGACTGGCTTTTTAATCAAAAGCAGATCTTGCACCACTCTTTCCAAAGTCACCAGCCTCCACTGATAAAAACGATAATTTTAACACGCTGAAAACAGGAGTTGCTGCTCTGCCACTGACTCAGAAGATTTTGTGGTTTCGTTTCGTTACTTTGGTGTTATAGAGGTCAGTTCCAAATCTCCTAGGACGTTTGCAGTCCACTTTACATGGTGTCTGTTTCATGATCTGGACACTAGATTCAAAAAGGTTTTTGAACCTTTAAGTCCTTTAATGTGAATCAAGTACAGTTGTAAAAACTACAGGATTCACTTTTAAGCTGTAAAACAACATTTTGACACCATTACTGAACAACAAAAGAAATCCACAGCAAGGAAAAAAAATACATCATCTCACACTTTACCACCTGTTACACTTCAGTTTTTTCATGCATAAACCTCTTTAACAGCATCACTCAGCACTCCACGCATGTGATCAGCTCTACAGCCGATTTTATTATCAATGAATCCCTTTGACATGCAACTCTCTGAATAGACTGCATGTATGAACACATCCACACATGACTGTCTGTAAATAATGAGCTGGAGAGTTTACTTGTGCTTTAAATTCAACCTGCAGAGACCTGAAATGAACTGAAACACAGATAATCCATCATGGGTTGGCTTTTATTTAGGGCGCGGTGAAATTACTGTTCTTAAGAGGAGCTATATGGTCTGTACAAACTCACCGCACACAACAATAAGTAAAGTTTGACTACAGTAAATAAAGGCTGCATCCAGGCGGTGATAGATTATCTCTCTGCAGCAGTGTCCGAGTCTCTGCAAGCAGATTTGTCTCAAAAAAGTCAACTTTAACTAAAGCCTAAACAAAAGCAGAGGGTTGTTCTTTTAAGACACCACGGTTCGGAGAAAGGCCAAAAAATATAAATACAAATATTTCAACTTTGTCGACATCAATTATTTTCAAACATGTCTTTTTGCAGAGTTCATGAACAACTTGTGTTCATGCATCTTTTATAATCAGACAATCTAAGTGCTGTCATGCTGTAACGTGGCAGTTAGTGATTCATATAAGGTCCAAAATTCTTCGGTGTTTCGCAAACAAATTATCCACAACAGGAATATTAAACTAGCTTATTAGCTGCTACCTTTGTTAGCTTTAGCTACATTAGTCCAGAAAGCAGTTTGAAGAACCACCGACATCCGATAAATCTGTTTAAGTACTATTATCTGTTTTAGTTCAAATGTCAAACATCTATCTGGTTTTTAACATCAACATGTAGTTTTTGCCTGACAGCATTAGCCCATAGGAAGGGACATAAGTTTGACATAAAAGCAGAAACAAACAGAGCTGAAAACTCTGCACAGCAGCAGTTTGGACTCTGAACAAGCAAATATAGAGACAACGGAGCATCAGTTTATGAAATGCGGCAGTTATGATGCTTTTACAAAATATAAAGATAGTCTATTATATAATCATTTCCTGTGAGTTCATAAACATTCAGCTATTTACATTTAACGTCCAAGGTACAGGCTCTGAGATCAAACTGAATTAATACTTTGCACCTGGCAAAGTCAGAGATGGTTTGTCTCCTTTTGGCCCCAAACCAGGTTCTGTTTTGGACCAAAAAACACGCTGGTTTTTATTGAAGGACGGCATCAGTGTTGTTTTTAAAAGCAGCAGAGTTATTTCAAGATCCCAGATGATACTATCTTAAATCATTTATTTTGATCTGAGAAAAACTGGAGGCATATTTGTTGTTTCAAGGGCACTTTTTTGGGGTTATTTTTACCTCTTGAAATCATGTGAACATACTGACCTGTTAACCCTGAAGGCTGATGGACATTTTAAACTACAGTGGGACTCATCAGAGACAGACGGGTAGATATACAAGAACACCATTTTGCTGCTATTTCACTGATCTTCTACAGATTTCTGTCTTAACATAAACCTGAAAAGTTTAATGATGCCACATGATGACATATAATCCTGAGGAAAGTGCTCTGTCCAGGCTCCATGAGAGTCTCTGAAGGGTCTTCAGGTAGGCGGGGGTCCGTTGACGTATCTGAGCCCCAGGTGGAAGCTCCGAGGCATCCTGCTGCTGCGATGACACGGTGGCTCCAAGATGACCCAGATCACATAGAAGACCAGAAGGACGAGAGCTGCAGCCAGGAGGAGGTAGAGAAGGGCACGGGGGAGCAGGGAGGGAGAGGAGGAGGTGGGGGTTGCTGTGGTGCTGGAGGTCACACTGTGAAGGAAGGGCAGGGAGGGACAACCTTTTTGTATTGTGACTGTAACTTAAACTCTAAAAGAATCAGATTATTAAGATGGAGCTCCGTGACACCGCTGCCTGCGGCAACAAGCTGCACCTGTATGTTTGCTTGTAACTCAGACTCTAAGTACTTCACGAAAACAAGAAAAAATAGTGGTAACTTTGTTCCTAAATCTAATTTCCATGACTGCATTAACCCAACAGTCCCACTTTGATTCATTATAATCTACTGCAGTGCATTACCAACAACAAATCACAGGCCATGCTAAACCAAAATAAGACGTTTCAACATTATTTTGTTTCCTCGTTACTGAACTTTTTTTAGACAAAATAATAAGAAAAATTTAATTTAGGGTTTTAATTTTGTCCTTTATGATCCAAATAATGGAATTTCTTCTCTTGGGTCTTTGAATTAGAGTACTTTTTCTGCAAATTAAGTCAGTAAATATCCACAGCACTATCTCCTTGAAACAGAGTTAATTCGTGGTGGTGACCACCATGGATTGTGGTGCGGAGCTGTTACAGCATTTCATTATTTACTTCAGGGAATGAAATGATCATCATTCTTTAGTTTATGGGCCTCCACATTTGTAATTATGCTCAGTTAGTACAGAATTTTGTAATCAGTTTCAAAAAAACAGCTCAGAGACGTTGCTGGTGTTCGGTTGAGTTCTCAGCTGTATTAATTTGTAGAAGGGTATTTTAATGTAGTCTTGCATTAAATAAAACTTGCAGAAATCAAAACCTTAAAGCTGTTTTATAATGAAATATAACTCATCCAAGTATGATAAAAACTTCCTTCTCAGCATTTAGACCTCAAAGTTCAGACTTAATACCTAAGAAATTATCCGTTTCTGTTTCTCTACAGGCTCCAAAGCTTCAAATCACTCAAGTTCACTGAATACAGATCACACTTGTGTTGAGTCAAAATACATTCACAAATCACAGAGATGAAAAACAGGCAGACTGAGAATAAATATAATCTGACCGATTCACGTACTTTCTCCATGAATAAAATTACGGCTCACCTGATCTCTGCGGTTTCACAGAAATATGCAAATTACAGCATCTCTATTGCTGTGTCTGTACTAAACTCAAAGGGTTTGAGTGTTTTCTCACCTTCGTTCGGAGAAACGGTGCTCAGCTTCCTCACAACAGGGCGGCTCTCCTTCAGCCTGAAGAACAGAGAGATTTTGTGTTGATCCACCGCAGCTTTAGGCAACGCTTAAAAGTTTCACATGAAAATACACACAGAGTTTTCTCTCTCCTCTCAGAGCACGAGTAACATAACTGCTACTGTTGTAATGTGTCGTTTGGAAGACTTTCAAACAATAAATCACTATCACTTTGTTTATGACACTTTAATGACTGTGAACTAATGTAATCAGCTGCAGACCAAACTCAGTGTTATCTCCTATCAAAACAAGTCTCTTTTCAGGAAAGCTGCAACCAGGAATACAGACAACTTGTCTGATTTTGAAGACTGAGGTGAATGGGATCAGTCAAACCATCTCTGATCATTTATCTGTTTTAATCCCACGTGAGTCAATCCTGTCTGTGATTTGTATGCAGGAAATTCACCATATTTCTGGACTCAGAGGTCCTCTGATGGTTTTAATGCAGCCTACTGAAAAAAAGAGCCTACTTCTGATGGAGACATGCTTGTAGTAAACCCAGATGTTGAAGCATGATTACATCATATGGATGATATACTTGGAGGAATGCAGTGAGGAAATATTTTCCATTAACGTCCTTTGTAAGTGTGCATTATGTTCGAAAGTTATGAACTTGATGCGTAACTTCCCAAAGTTTGAAATGCACATGCTTCTCTGAGGTTTACCTGATGTGGACATTAACTCCTCTTTATTAATTTCCTACAGACACTATGCTGCAGAGGGTGATGCTGCCCCCAGAGACAACGTGAATTTGGTGCAGCTAAAGAGTGAGTAAATTAAACCCTTTTTTAAATTAAAGTTTGAAGCGCCACACCCAACACTATTGCTAGGGGGTGATTCAAAAGCTAACAGAAGTATACGACAAAGCAACTCCCAGCCAAACTGCAACTTTGAAGGCAGAACAATGGTGCCAATGCTCAAGTACCAAAAACTGCAGTTATTCAAATGGCCACCTGAGGCTTGTTTTGAAGGAGAGTCAATTCCCATAGAGCCCTCTACCTTTATGGTGGAACTAAACATGTTTACAGCTGTGTTTGGCACCAAAAGTTACCACATCTGATAGAAAGGGTAGCTAACTTGGTATTATGATGCAAACTTTTCTCGAGCTGAGAATATTTTTCAAAACAAAACAAAAAAAAGTGCAGATACCGAGTTCTTTAGGTTGCAGAAATAGCAACTTCTTCATCACAACATAGTCACACCTCCAAAGTGTATTCACCATGTAAACATTTTCTCTGCTACATCCACTTCTTACTACAGTTTCTTGTCACTTTTGGAGACCAAAAGATTGAATTGGTGACTGTCAAAGGTCTTGTACAGCAGATTAGATACTGATGAGACATGCTCAGCAGCTTGGTCCACTTTACATACAGTTTGTGTTCAAATCCAAAGTCAACAACTGACACCACACGCACCCAAGGATCTGATGGATGCTTCAACCAATCAGTGGAGGCACTTGGGGGGTGGGCTTGAAGAAGCTGCTTTGGGGTGTTTTGGCGATGTTGGCTGCTGGGTGTGTTGATGTAGCTTCCATCAAGGTTACACTGTAAAATCAACAGCAGTTGAAGGTGTTAAATTTGGATTAGAGCAGGTTAAAACTAGATCATGTTTTCAGAAGTCTACACAGGATGACTGACTGATCATGATTGATCTCAGACTCGATCAGATTTTTTAATTCATCTTCAGAAAGCCGAGACTTCCTTATTCATGGGATGTGTTTGTTTTATTTGAGGCAAACACCATCCGCCTGACTGTTTCTGACTTTTTTGGACTCCCTCTGGATGCTTGTTCCTGAAAAGCACTGAGATTGTGAGATTTTTCGTTGACCTCTTTTAAAAGGGGCCAAAACTTCCCCTAAGAGGCGATAGAGCATTCCTAAAATAGGAGGTGCTTTTACTTTGAAAGAGCAGTTCTCAGTTAGTACATGGGCTGTTCAAAAATAACGATTAAACTCTTGATTCTCTCCTTCACTCCTGCAGGTTGGTTTCTGCTCCAGTTTCTTTGGTGCTCACTCGATAGTTTAGTCGGTAATGAACCTCTATTAAAAAGTGCCAATGCTATTACGCGCAAACACGCATTCAATCAAACTTGCATATTGCAAGTGACAATGCGCCAAATCTTTCTAATTATAATGCACACACACTCACAAACTGGTGCACACACTCTGTTATCAGATTATAAACTTGTCTACAACTTTTCTTCTCCTTCTCTGCCGCTCATCTGTTTATCTCCTCTTCCTGTACACGGCCTGTTATCTGAAAGTGGTCGTATTTCAGACAGAGGAAAAACATAGATGTGGGAGGGAGGAAGTAAAGGGGAAGGAAGGGAAGGAGGAAGTCTAGGTGTTTCTCTCCTGCTTTTATAGCCACAGTAAAAGTGCAGCCAGACTCAATGCATAAATCAAGACTTTATGGATTCATTCGCCCAGCCGAGGAGCGGCAGAGGAAGAAGGGAATAAATAGATGGCTGGACGGTAATGAGAGAGGGAGAGAAAATAAAGACTGGGGCCAAAGGAGAGAGAAACATGAAGCCAGAGAGACAAAATGAGAAAACAGAGGAGGGGTGGAGGACAGTTATACAGGAATCCATCTTTACAAAAGGTGGATGAGCAGGAAAATAAAGGCCCATGACTTTGAATGTTGATGAAGCTTCTTATAAGAGAGGATATCACTCAGTGTCGCAGTGTTTGCAGGGACTTATGCTCACAGTGCTAAGTAAACTGGGAAATAACACTAACAAAGACCGGCTGTTTAACTAATACTTGTTGTTGTAAGCTTGTGTGTTTATAGACCTGCAAAAGGAGGGCCAACCTATCAATCTGGGACAAAGAGTATGTACGATAATAAATGGTCTGGGCTCACATCTGTTAGATTATTGGAAATATTCTGGCACATTTCTATGAAATAAAGCCAAAGCACCTGCCTGATATACAACATATACAACATTTTTCTTGGTATACAAACTGAGAGGGGACCGCAAAATGGGATATGTTAGATATGTCTCAGTACATGACTCCCTCATTAGTGCCTGATGCATGTTTGTGTTGGTTTTAATTTGGTTGGTAAAGGCAAGCTAGAGAGTACACTTCACGCCTGAGCAGACAAAAGTTACATGTGGAGTTCCCCAGGGCACCATCTTGGGGCCTCTTCTGTTTAACATCCACATGCTTCCTCTGGCATATGTTACAAAAAACAATTAATAAGTTACTATAAGTACGCTGATGACATACAGTAATACATATCAGTGTCACAGGGGATCCTATTCTCATACAAGCTTAAGTTAATGGTGACTAAATCTATATGACTGTTGCCCCTGAACTTGTGCTAAATGCTAACACTGGCATGCTTAGTATCTTACAGTTTGATAGCTTACATGCTTTACTTTACTGTATTGTATCATGAATCCTTTTAGTTTTGCATACAAACATTTGTTGTTCAGGTCTTCGCACAGCAAAATTGGGGCTCTGGTAGTTATTAGACATATTAAAACTGTATTTGAACAACTAGAACACACTGTTCCTGAGTCTGTCCAATTATATATGAACTGAATGTTGTTTAGCCAATGTGATGTAATTAGTGGAAACTCATATTCAGACATTAGCTGCAGTTTGCAGTTAACTTCTGAGCTGATCTGTAACATATTCCTTCTCTTGCATGTGCTGTTTTAGTCTAAAAATAGACGCCGAGCCTCCTGCTGAGATGTCAGCATCTAAAAAAAAAAACACTCAAACAGCAGGAGAATAAAAAGCGCAGACACAGAGGCGTGTTTGATTCTCTGTGATATACAGCACTGTGCAAAGTGAAGCTGTGTTTCCTCTACCTTTATATAATGTGACGTGTTTTCTGATCTTATTATCATTTGTCAGAATTGTGCTTTTATCCTGCATGAGGTCAGCTTTTTGATTTTACTCTGAGAGAGTGTGTGAGCATGTCAGATCAGGAGGTTTTTAACACACACTCTTAACCTCACTCCCACACAGATGATGTTCATGTGACGCCATGTGCTGAATGTTAATGTTGACCTCCAGAGGAAAAAGGTCAGCAGAGAGCAGACTTGGAGTTGGTTTCATCCTCATGTGTTTGTCTTTAAAAGTTCTTAAACTACTTCATGTCCACATTTTGCACAAGATGTCACACTGTCCACGACAAAAAGGACATTACTACCTGTATATCAGTGCTAAATGAAAATAATTTCTGCTGTAATCTACAAATTCAAACATGATTATCTCCTGATCATTGGAAGACTAACAGCCCTGTAATGTTTGCCAAGAAGTCTGAAACTGAGGCTGAAACTGGACTTTTAAAATACATGTGAAAGAGTCCATTCCACTGAATATGCACTAAATCAAACTTCCCACAGGCAGATTTGGTAAGGACATGCTGTTAAATAAAAGTAATGTCAGTGACTTACAGTGACTCCACCCGCCTCTGCCTCCCTGTCAGTCTGCACAGCCTTACATGAGCAGGTCCTCCTCACTGCAGGGGCAGAGCTTTCAACTCCAAGCCACGCCCTCACACGGCCTCCATCATAGCTGAGCATCTCTCTGTCGTATCTTCCAGGGGTCGAGGTCACCCACTCGTCTCCCTGCGGCGCTGCATGGGAGAGGTCACTCTGGTGGGTGTGGCCAATGTGTTCCTCCAACCGCTGCACAGAAAACAAACACACAAAAGTTTTACGCTCATGCTCGATGGCTGATTGCTGTATTTGGCAGAGGACAGAGAAGAGAATAGCATACTAACAGGAATAGTGAGTTTCAGTGCAGTAGCTTTAAAAAAGTGCAAGTTAAAGCCCGCAGAAGCTCAAACCTGTCAGAGGTACAAACTACTGCCACCACAATCTTGTAGTATTCAAGAGAAACTCTGCAAAGATGCTCTTTTGAGCTGCATTCAGAATTCATGCAGCACGCAAGCACCCGGGGAGGAGGTCACCGGGTCGCAGATTTAATGAAGCAAAGCCACTGGCAGTCTCTAGACAGACAGCGCCGAGCCGAGCCTGCAGGGAAAGTGTGCCGGCATCACGCCTTTATCTGTCTGATAATAAATAAGATTGTGAAAAAAGGAATAAAAGAGGGTGACAGAGTGCACACACACACACACACACACACACACACACACACACACACACACACACTTTGATGTTCTTTGTTGGGTTGCTGCAGCTGTAATCAGATGCAAATTCAGTTGTACATGTGTCTCTCCGCTCATCTCTCCTCCTGTTGAGCTTCAGGGTTCACTGACAGTGCAACAGTGTGTGTGTGTGTGTGTGTGTGTGTGTGTGTGTGTGTGTGTGTGTGTGTGTGTGTGTGTGTGTGTGTGAAATAGAGAAACACACTCTGAAGGAGAAGCTGCTGGCAGACAGAGGAAACTCAAATTATTTCACATCTTTAATTTCTTTCCCTGTCTTGTCACCGCTCATCCTTTTCCATTTTTACCTCCTCATTTCTGTGCCTCAGCTCTCTCTTACAGCTGCTGACACACTTCTCCCCTCCAAAAATAAAAGCTTAAAAAAGGAAACTGATGTACCTGACAAGGTACAGACAAGCCACACTGTGCAGACGTCATCAATAAACCAGCGGAGGAAGAGGAGGACTGCCGTAAACAGCTTATGAAGCCGACACAGAGTGAGGGAGAGTGTGTGTGTGTGTGTGTGTGTGATAAAGAGAGTGATAAACAACAAAATATAAAAAAAAAAAATCATCACAATTTAATCTGGACAAACTTTCCACTTCAGGTGGTCACAGTGTAACTCTTCAAACTTGAACATAACTCACAATGAAGGGCTGATATCCTTTGATACAATGTGGTACAATTCAATAGGGGACCAAAAACCTGTTCAAACTCACCAAATCTGCTTCCTGGTTGTTGATGTCATTAATGATGTCAGACTGAGAGCCGAGGGAACTGATGTAGCTCCGCCTCTTCAGACCATCCCTGTGACACAGACCTGAACACAAACAGGCACCATTAAAGATAGCGTACATCCATTATAGATAAAACAAAAAAGGAGTGATAACTGCAGAGTGATCAGGTTGAGGAGCTGACCCTAGTCAACATTTATTAGCCTGTAAGTCTTATCTCGACTTTTGAACACGCTTGAAAACAGTCCACAGGTGCCTGGAGGGAGAAGCTGTGATTTTTCGTGTAAAGACTCATAAATAAAAGTCTGATAAGAACATCATGAGGGAAAACTAAGGTTTCAGCATTGCATATTCCCTTTAACTGTCCATTTCCATACCTGTATATTGTTTTTATTTATTTTAACAGTGTTTTAACTGTGTTCTTGATGCCTGTACAGTGTCCTTGGGTGTCCAGAAAGGCGCTTTTAAATAAAATGTATTATTATTATTATTATTATTATTATTTAAAGATGTGTAGAGTAAAGCCTGTAAAATCATTCACTGTTGTGTATAAATTCTTACTTTTTGACATTTGGGTACTTTTCTCTTTTTATGTTTTGGCCGTTAAAGAGATTTCGAAAATGTTGTGTGATGTCCAACCTGTGCAGAGACTGAAGTACGAAGAGTCAGCCTCATCCGGTGAGACAGACCGCCCAATATCAACAGAAGGGTCCCACTCCAGCCCCAGGTGCTCATGGGTAGGCGAGGATGGGGAGGGAGGAGGAGGAGGGATGTGAACTGGTGAAAAATTAAGGCTGGTGTTTGCTGAAAGACAGAGAGGCAGTTTGGCTGATGTGACTTTGTGTATGCGCTAATTTGAAAGATTGTTATGTGACTTATGATAAAATTACCTTTACAGTGGCTGGAGGATGCAGGGAGGTCCAGGTGGATTTTATCAAGCGCTCCCTCTTCCTCTAGGAGACTCTCTGAAGGACAACCAGAGTCTGTGGCTTGAGACAGAATCCAGTCATCCTCAAACACCTGGAGGGGGAGTGAGAGTGAGAAAAACAAGAGGCTGGAGTTGTTTTCTGCAGAATTAAAGTTACGAGTAGAAAGAAAAGCAACAGGATGAAACAAACCTAGGCAAGGAGGAGCATCAGTGGGATATCTAGCTACTCATTTTTATTAATGATCTTTAACTTTTTCTCTGTACCTCAGTTTATACAAATTAACTTTAATGATAACTCTATTTGTCACAGTGTGTTAGTGTGTGTGTGTGTGTGTGTGTGTGTGTGTGTGTGTGTGTGTGTGTGTGTTTGTCTTTAATACATTGTTGGTACCGAGATGTGATAGCCCACTCACAGCGTGGGGACTGAAAATAAAGTGGGGACCAAAATCCTGGACCCCACAAAAAGTAACCTATTATTCAGTGATAAAATGGTTAAAATAGTGCCCTGTCAAATTTTCAGGGTTCACCCCAGAATACACATTTACCGACATTTGTGTGCTAAAGTGTGTATGTGGGAGGTAACTCAGTACTGGCCCCTAGTGGTGAAAAGTGATACTGCAGCCATACACACTTGTACACACACTTGATTGAAATATGCTATGCAACAGCCCTCTGAGATTAAGCTAGCTTCTTTAACTTAAGATGACTATTCATTCCACTTGAATGAAAGGATATAGTAGAAGTTTTAAGTTATAGATCATGGGACAAGGTAAGGTAGAGCCATATTCATCTGTTGCTCGTGACTAACAGATTTATGACAAAGAAGTCAGCAACATAATGATAAAAACTGAAAAAATGCTTTTAGATCTTGCTTATTTATTTATTTATTTATTTCCCAAGGTAGCCTTTTTGAATCAATGGTAAACTGATTTGATTTAGCGTCAAAAGTTAGTTGTCCAGGTTTGAAGCATCATGGTTATATATAGCTTGTGAATGTGAACCTTTAGATTATAGAAATGCTCCAAGGGATTTCTCAAAACATTAGTCCCTGGCACCTAATATTAAGTGATTTGTGAGCACAAGCCTTCTTGTGGCTACTGCTTTTCTGAAGTCATCCACCAGAATATGGTGAATATGGTAAAAAACACTTTGGAGCATTTAAAAGAAGAGGCTGTAACAATAAAGTCAATCACATCAGAAGACAACCATATGTAAAATATTCTGCATTAGTTTTAATTATGAATTAATTTAGATTTTTTATATTGACCAGTTATTTGAAATGTAAAGTTAAACCACAATTTTTCATGATGCTATTTTTGTGATCAGACAAAATTGAACTGCAAATGTATGACAAATTTAATAAAGATTTTGTATTACCTCGCCTTAACTTAAAGTCTGGTTTTAGATTTAAACAGTTAATGTTGTTTAGCCTCTGTCTCACCTATTGGTGTCATGAGTTTGGCAGCTGCCACTTTGTCTAGGGGGTTAGCCATATATTCAGACTTACCAAAACAAGTAATAAAAAAAGGTGAGACAAACCCATATCTGAGATGGACATTTACACATATAAAGAGATTTGGTTGGTCTGGTAAACTGATGTTAATGCTCTCGCACATCATGAGTTAAAAACTTACAGCTCTTTGACTCTTAGAAACATTTGCTCAATAACATGATTTTGTACTGAGAATGACTTTTAGAAATGTAATTTATGGCATTACAATAGACTAATACTGAATAAATTATATTGGTACATTGTAAATAAAGACCTGATTTTTTTATATTCATCAGATATTTGTAATGCAAAACAATCTGTAAAAAAGCTAGCAGTGTAAATAGCCAGATAGCTGACTTGTCAGCTAATGTTAGCTGCTTCAGAATGTAGCAGGAACAACAGGCTGTTGCTTCTTGCTATCCTCTCCTCTCCTAAACACATAATTGTAGTGTTTTTGCTGCTGGGTGAACAATCTGTAGAACAGTAAGCAGTGTACATAGCCAGGTAGCTGACTTGTCAGCTAATGTAAGCTGCTTCAGAATGCAGCAGGAACAACAGGCTGCTGGTCCTGGCTATCCTTTCCTCTCCTCAACACACAACTGTAGTGTTTTTGATGTTGAGTGAACAATCTGTAAAACTGTTAGCAGTGTACATAGCCAGGTAGCTGACTTGTCAGCTAATGTTAGCTACTTCACAATGAAGCAGGAACAACAGTCTGCTGCTCCTGGCTATCCTCTCCTCTCCTCAACACACAACTGTAGTACTTTTGCTGTTGGGTGAACAATCTGTAAAACTGTTAGCAGTGTACATAGCCAGGTAGCTGACTTGTCAGCTAATGTTAGCTGCTACAGAAGGTAGCAGAAACAACAGTCTGCTGCTCCTGGCTATCCTCTCCTCTCCTCAACACACATTGTAGTGTTTTTGCTGCTGGGTGAACAATCTGTAAAAAAGTTAGCAGTGTCCATAAGCAGGTAGCCAAAGTGTCGGCTAATGTTAGCTGCCACAGAAGATAGCAGGAACAAAAGGCTGCTGCTCCTGGCTATCATTTCCTCTCCTCAGTACACAACAACTGTAGTGATTTGCTGCTGGGTGAACAATCTGTAAAACAGTTAGCAGTGTACATTGCCAGGTAGCTGACTTGTCAGCTAATGTAAGCTGCTACAGAAGGTAGTAGAAACAACAGTCTGCGGCTCCTGGCTATCCTCTCCTCTCCTCAACACACAACTGTAGTACTTTTGCTGTTGGGTGAACAATCTGTAAAACTGTTAGCAGTGTACATAGCCAGGTAGCTGACTTGTCAGCTAATGTTAGCTGCTACAGAAGGTAGCAGGAACATAAGGCTGCTGCTTCTGGCTATCCTCCCCTCTCCTCAACACACATTGTAGGGTTTTTGCTGCTGGGTGAACAATCTGTAAAAAAGTTAGCAGTGTTAATAAGCAGGTAGCCAAAGTGTCAGCTAATGTTAGCTGCTACAGAAGGTAGCAGGAACAAAAGGCTGCTGCTCCTGGCTATCATTTCCTCTCCTCAGTACACAACAACTGTAGTGATTTGCTGCTGGGTGAACAATCTTTTAAACAGTTAGCAGTGTACATAGCCAGGTAGCTGACTTGTCAGCTAATGTAAGCTGCTACAGAAGGTAGTAGAAACAACAGTCTGCTGCTCCTGGCTATCCTCTCCTCAACACACATTGTAGTGTTTTTGCTGCTGGGTGAACAATCTGTAAAAAAGTTAGCAGTGTACATAGCCAGGTAGCCAAAGTGTCGGCTAATGTTAGCTGCCACAGAAGATAGCAGGAACAACAGACTGCTGCTCCTGGCTATCCTCTCCTCTCCTCAATACACAACTGTAGTGTTTTTGCTGCCGTCATGATTGGATGTAACCTGCAGATGTTCCTGGGCTGCTTGTTACTTCTCCCTCTTAGGACACCTAGCCTCTGGTCCACTGCCAATACTAGCTATAAACTAGCTTCCCCTGACTGTATTACTCCTAAGCACTGCATCTGTTCATTAACCACCTCTGCCAAGGCTGTGTTGACAGTCTGAGAAAGGCTGATACAGTCCACAGATAATGTTGTGCAGAGGCTCTGCACATATTTTTCATACATACACCACTTCTCATCCACAAATTTTAACCCTTCACTATGGTCTTGCCACACTGCCTCATTGCATCATAACAACAAAGAACAGCATGTAGACCTGTCAAATCTCTGCTCTCTTCTCCAGTCTTCTGAGCAAATTCCAAAGCAACTGGTGTAAGTTAACACTCATTTTTCAATGGAATCTTTCCCTCCCTGAATAAATTCATCACCGATAACAAACTTTATCTCCTCTCAAACTCCTGCAACACAAACCTTCATACCATTTTCTTTCAAACTTTAAAGCTCTACCTTACTGGTTAATGCAGTTATTTAACTTAACACAAAATATCAACTTCCACACCCGCAGTTGTGAGCACATTCTGCTGGTTTGCTCTGGTCTCACCATTAAGCAAGTCTTGAGCCACAATCTCCATATTCGTGACCACCATCTAGCAACAATACTGAATATCCACATCAGCTTTCATGGTCAAAAAGAGAAATCAGCATTCAGGAACCTCAAGTTCATCCCTGTCTCAGCTCTTTCAGCCTCTCTCTCATCTGCATTATCCCCTAATAATGCTGTCATATCATCCAGAATTGCGTACTAAAGCATCTTGAACAGTTCATTACCCAAAGTCCTCAATAAACCCTGGTATATCCAGAACTCTGCTGCTCACCTTCTCACACACTCTTACTTCTGTTAGCAAATCTCCCTGTTACTCCAGAACCTCCACTAGTCTCCAATCCAAAGACTTTCTCACTGTACAGTCCCTCTCTTCACTCACAAAGCTCTCCATGATCAGGACCCTATCTTACTGATAAGGTCCTAATCCTATTTTACTGACCTGCTCAACTCTCACACTCCTTTCTGACCTGTCTGCAGGACCAGTGGTGAAAGAGAGTGTGAGAGCCTCAACCTCCAACAGAAAACTGATCTGCCAAAATCCAATTCTCCTCTAAAACACATCTCTGGAATCACTGATGATGCCATTTTATCCAAGCTTTGTTTTTTTTTTCTTCGTTTATAACGTGAGTTTTTGTGACACTTATCTTTCGGTATTTTTTTAAAGTAACACAAGTAAAATGTACTGCAATAATAATACTAATAAAATGATAATAGAAGTAGTAGTGGTAACAGTAGAAGAATTGGGATTCTTGCAGTAAGAATGTTATTATTATTATTATTATTATTATTATTATTACCGTGATTATTGTTGTTTGAGATAGTACAGGCAGGCTGGGCAAGACAAAGTGATTAATTGTCAGAAACATGAAATCATCCTTTTAAATAAATAAGTTCCTATTTACTGAAATTGAAACTGATAAACACACACTTCTACAATAACAAAAGAAGCGGGCTGCCTTAATAACAAATGTCTGGCGGGCGGACACACAAATTCTGTGATTAAAGCAGCACCACCCGCACAGGATGTAACAGTTTTGCAAAGTAAGCGCTCCTTAGCTGATAGTTTGGAGAAGAGATAAGCACTTGACTACAAAAAGTGTATTTAAATTAGTAAATAAATACATTTATTGAAACTGGTAACTGATAAACACACACACTATTACTCTAACAAAGAGGAGTGGGCTGCTTTAAATTTTTATATTGACATGCCTGGCGGGCGGATATAGGAATCTATGGTTAAAGCAGCACCACCCGTTCAGGACGTGCTGACTATACAGAGTAAGCGCTCCTCAGCTGACGGTACGGAGATGAGTGAGAAGCACTTGACTGCAGGGGAGACTTGAGCTGCAGCAGGAGAGGATTTAACTGAAAGGTAAGTGGGATTCTGATAAAATAATTAGGTAAGTGATTACTTTATAGTCAAAAAGTTACCCGGTGTTTTCACACATGGTATTATGTGGCATGCACACAGGAAGCTAGCTGCTAGCAAAGTTCGTTAGGCAGAACTAGCGGTCTCACGGTCGCATTGTGTTCTCTTGTAACTTTTTGTCAAAGTTTTTAACTTTAAAAAACACCGAAAATGTGACTTGATTTTGTTTAATTTTTATCTGAATCTTATTCTTTTACAACACGGTCATATTTGGGGAAATGTGCGTTATGTTGGGTGGGTGGGGTAGGGTGGGGGGAGTGAGAGCAAAGCCGCCATCTTAGGCACGTGCGCTTTTAATTGAAGTAAATGACAGACCGTTCACAGTGAAGCAGCAGGAGCAAGTTCATCATTTTGTGTCAGACAACATGGTCACTACTCACTGGTTTGTCACATGGTTGTTAAAGTTTACAATGAATGTAATTTTAGTAACATTAAACATTATTGAGTAGTTATATGACACTGCAGACATGCACTGGGCCTGGCATGTTTGTCCATAGAGATAAAAAAAAATCAAAAACTTAAATTTTCCTTTATAGGATGTATACGCTGAGAAGCAGAAAAGTCCAAAAACAGGATGACTGGCCTAGGAGGAAAAAGGTTTGTCAAAGTCTTTGTTACTGACAAAAATTGAAGTACATTTTCAGAGCTTACTCAAGTTGTTCTGATGTAATGGGCTCCAGTTAGGTTGTGATTTTAGCAACCTAACAAACACACTTGTCATTCATCCTAATCTTAGAAGGGCAGACAATCAGCTGTGGCTGAAACATCTGAGGCTGAGATCTCCAGGACCACAGAGGAGCCTCCTGAGGGATCTACACTCAGAGAGATAGAGGTATTTATTCTAGCTGATCATCTTGTCTGGTCTTGAGGTGTTAAAGCTGCAGTTGTAAATACTCTGCTGATTGGTCAGGTCCTTATAATGTATCTGATTTTTTTATTTTGATGGTCAGTTAAGCTGTGTGTCTGCTTTAAGGCTCCCTTGGGTTGATTTTGAGTTGTGGGGTCCAGTCAGGTTGGTATTTAAGATGTCTGACAAACACACTTGTCAGGTTTACAGTGTTTGTGGGGTCCACGTAAAGTCAGATACACTGTTGACATTAATGGGAGATTAAATATCAAATGAAAAAAATACATCCTTTGCAGTTGATGTGTTCCTCACTGTGTAATGATCTAAGACCCTACCGGTCACTCCAGCTGTTTGACTAGGAGACTGAAGTCTCTGCCAGTCCTTTCTGGGCTCCATGATCCACATTTTGGTTAAAAGAAGACACCAAGCGACAGTAATAGTAGTTGGTACAGATGATTTTTTTTAGATTATGGGATTTAGCATGAGAGCTACAGCGAGTGGATTCATCAGGTTTAAGAATCATAATGTATTTAAAGTTGCCTGTATCTTTAATTGTGAAGAAATCAGAACAATAGTTTGTTTATTTACTATTCATCTCAAACTTGTTGTTTAGGACATGGAACCACCTACTGTGGCTGAAACATCTGAGGCTGAGATCTCCAGTACCGCAGAGGAGCCTCCTGAGGGATCTACACTCACAGAGATAGAGGTATTTATTCCAGCTGATCATTCTGTCTGCTCTTTAGTGTTAAATCTGCAGTTGTAAAAACTCTGCTGATTGGTCAGGTCCTTTAAATGTATCTGATTTTTTTATTTTGATGGTCAGTTAAGCTGTGTGTCTGCTTTAAGGCTCCCTTGGGTTGATTTTGAGTTGTGGGGTCCAGTCAGGTTGGTATTTAAGATGTCTGACAAACACACTTGTCAGGTTTACAGTGTTTGTGGGGTCCACGTAAAGTCAGATACACTGTTGACATTAATGAGAGATTAAATATCATATGAAAAAAATACATCCTTTGCAGTTGATGTGTTCCTCACTGTGTAATGATCTAAGACCTTAGCTGCCACTCCAGCTGTTTGACTAGGAGACCTAAGTCTCTTCAAGTCCTTTCTATTCTCTATAATCACTTTATGTTTTTAAGAAGACATCAGTTGACAAAAAATAGCAGTAAGTACAAATGGTTTTGTTTAGATGAGGTGATTTAGCATGAGCTGCAGTGAGTGGATTCATCAGGTTAATAGACTGTTATGTATATTTGAGGTGCCAGTGGCTTTAAATGTGCAGAAATTAGATCAGTAAATAGTTGGTTAATTTACTATTCATCTCAAACTTGTTGTTTAGGACATGGAACCACCTAATGTGGCTGAAACATCTGAGGCTGAGATCTCCAGTACCGCAGAGGAGCCTCCTGAGGGATCTACACTCAGAGAGATAGAGGTAATTATTCCAGCTGATCATCCTGTCTGCTCTTTAGTGTTAAATCTGCAGTTGTAAAAACTCTGCTGATTGGTCAGGTCCTTTAAATGTATCTGATTTTTTTATTTTGATGGTCAGTTAAGCTGTGTGTCTGCTTTAAGGCTCCCTCGGGTTGATTTTGTGTTAAGGGGTCCAGTCAGGTTGGTATTTAAGACGTCTAACAAACACACTTGTCAGGTTTACAGTGTTTGTGGGGTCCACGTAAAGTCAGATACACTGTTGACATTAATGGGAGATTAAATATCACATGAAAAAAATACATCCTTTGCAGTTGATGTGTTCCTCACTGTGTAATGATCTAAGAACCTACCGGTCACTCCAGCTGTTTGACTGGGAGACTTGAGTCTTTGCCAGTCCTCTCTGTTCACCATGGTCCAGTAAATGTTTAAAAGAAGACACCAGGTGTACAAAAATAGCAGTCAGTACAGAAAATATGTGTCCAGATTAACTCATTTAGCATGCGAGCTACAGTGAGTGTATTCGTCGGGTTTATGAAGGTAATGTATATTTATGTGCCAGTGGCTTTAAAAGTGTAGAATTTAGATCAATTATGAGTTGGTTAATTTACTATTCATCTCAAACTTTTTGTTTAGGACGTGGAACAACCTACTGTGGCTGAAACATCTGAGGCTGAGATCCCTAGGACCGCAGAGGAGCCTCCTGAGGGATCCAAACTCACAGAGATAGAGGTGTTAGTCCACCTGATCATTCTGTCTGATTTTTAGGTTTTAAAGCTGCAGTTTTAAAAACTCTGCTGATTGGTCAGGTCCTTATAATGTATCTGATTTTTTTATTTTGATGGTCAGTTAAGCTGTGTGTCTGCTTTAAGGCTCCCTTGGGTTGATTTTGAGTTGTGGAGTCCAGTCAGGTTGGTATTTAAGATGTCTGACAAACACACTTGTCAGGTTTACAGTGTTTGTGGGGTCCACGTAAAGTCAGATACAATGTTGACATTAATGAGAGATAAAAAAGGTTTTTTTTTCTTATTGTGTGAAATAAACATTATATGCAGTTTATCTGTTCACTATGTGATGATCTTAGAACCCACCGGTCACTCCAGCTGTTTGACAAGGAGACTTAAGTCTCTTCCAGTCCTTTCTATTCTCCATCATTCACTCTGTGGTTTAAAGAAGACATCAGTTGACAAAAAATAGCAGTAAGTACTAGTGGTGCAACGGATCACAAAACTCACGGATTGGATCGTTCCTCGGATCAAGAGTCATGGATCAGATCATTTTTTGGATCAGCAAAAAGCAACAAAAAAAAAAAAAACAAGACAAACACAAGTTTTGTCTGTTTATTAAACACTTAAATGATTAAATTAAATATATAAAAGTAGTGCACAAGGCATAATATCTTCTTTCTAGCATAATTATTAATGAAAAACAACTTGAAGTGCAATATATAGGCATATCTCCTTCCTTTAAAATGTAACAATGAACCAAAAATGAAGTATGTGAGCGACGGGATGTCTTAACGTGGCTCAAGGACTTTTAGCATGTTTTTAACATGTTTTGCACAACTGAATATGGCCTCATGTCTGTAGCTATAAACACACCGATAGCGTTTGTGATAGCTTTAGCCCTGTCGGATTGCACAAGGAAGAGGCTGCTTAAATGCTGTGGTGAAGTTGTTGGCCAGCTTTCGTTTTATCGCCAGTCAGTAAAACACCCGGGTGATGTCGCTTCAAATGCGTGAACATGCTCGATGTGTTCCCACTGTCATTTCGCTTTCTTATGCCACAGTGCCTACACACCGTCGCAGTTTTGTCCACTGACCTCTTTCCTTCTTCATCATAGTTGACAGGGATGCCAAAATGCTCCCATACAAGGGATGTAAGTGTCGCGGGGCGTTCAAGCTCCTCCTTTCCTCAACTCGCCATGTCTGCCCTCCTCCTTTCTTCGCTTACAATAAGCTGTGTGTGGACGGAGCACAACTTTTTTTTTTTCAGAAATAAATCCGCGGGTCACATTTGTGCCAAACCAATGACGTCAATCCGAACGGATCATGGATCAATGATGATCTGTTGCACCACTAGTAAGTACAAATGGATTTGTTTAGATGAGGTGATTTAGCATGAGCTGCAGTGAGTGGATTCATCAGGTTAATAGACTGTTATGTATATTTGATGTGCTAGAAGCCTTTAATGTACAGAAATTTGATCAATAATAAGTTAGTTTATTTACTATTCATCTCAAACTTGTTGTTTAGGACATGGAACCACCTACTGTGGCTGAAACATCTGAGGCTGAGATCTCCAGTACCGCAGAGGAGCCTCCTGAGGGATCTACACTCACAGAGATAAAGGTATTTATTCCAGCTGACCATCCTGTCTGGTCTTGTGGTGTTAAAGCTGCAGTTTTCCTCACCAATGCATACATTTCAGTAAAAAGGGCTACCATCTGGTCTTAATTAGCTTTGAGTATAGGCCTTTTTTTCGTACCTTGATGAGATGCTTCATTATTTCATTTTGTCTTTATTTTCTCTAGGACTCAGATGCAGCTTGTCCTCTTCCCTCAGTGAAAAAATATGGGCTGAATCTTCCTCTAGTAAACTACACAGATTCTGATGAACCCCAGAGTCCATCCTCAAATCCTGAATCTGAACATTGCCTCTCAGAGCAGGACCATATTTCTGTCCCCAGGCTCAGGAGGACCAAAAGTATACTGGTAAACAACACACACACACAGTGCAGTGAATGTATTAAAAGTCAATTGCAGACATTTCATTGGTCTTGTGCCTACTGTCTATCATATTTTTATTGCTTTCTTTAGATGAAAAACCAGATTCACTTTGATTCAGAAGAGCTTTATGACACCACCTCAGCTGACAGTGAAGAGGAATACATTCCTAAGACAAGTGAGGACTCTGATGATTCCGGCAGAAGTGAAGTCCTGGAAGTTGAGGACCCTCTCTTCAAGATAAAAGATGTCATCAAAGATTTTCCTCCCTTAACCCAAAGATCTGAAGCCTCTTCACAGCAGGTTGTTACAAGAGGGCGTTCACCTGTTAGGAGAAGTAGCTCTGGTCTGATGCATAAAAGGCAATGCTACAGAAGTGTGGTTCATCATTCAACACTAGTCAGCCATGCTGACTCATCTAACCAGAGTTTTGTAGCAGACGCTGATGCCCTCTCCCAAAACTCAGTGGTGAATTTAGACCAGGACCAGGACGAATGTCTTCCTGACAGTTCCTCTTCCATTCTTACAAATGATAATGAGTCTGGTGGTCCACTTTCCATACCCGCTGTCTGCAAAAAAGAGAATGGGTCAAGACTTTATAACAAGAAGCAGTACTGTTTGTACTGCAAATTGGGTGTTATAAAAATTGCAAGACATTTAGAGCGAGCACATATAGATAAGTCAGAGGTTGCACAGGCTTTTGCCTTCAAAAAAGGCTCCAAAGAAAGACGAATGCATCTGGAACTTTTGAGAAACAGGGGCAACTTTTCACACAATGTAGAGGTACTACACTCTGGGGTCGGTAACCTTGTTCCCCGCAAGCAGCCGAGGCAGGATTCCAGTGCACAGGATTTCCTACACTGTGCATATTGTCAAGGCTTTTTTGCCAGAAAGCTGCTTTGGCGGCACATGCAAATTTGCAAGCTTAGGCCTTCTGTACCACACAAACCAGGTAAAACCCGTGTCCAGGCCCTTTGTGCATTTACTACACCTCCTCCACCTGGCGTCAAACAGGACTTGTGGAAACTCTTAAACAACATGCTCCAAGATGAGGTTTTTTCAGCAGTTAAATCTGATGCCTGTATTCTGGAGTACGGGGACCATCTATACAACAGACTGGGACATGATCCTGGAAAACATGAATATATCCGCCAGAAGTTAAGAGAGCTTGGAAGACTTCTGCTGTGCTCCAGAAAAAACACTTCCATGAAGACCATTCGAGACCACATCAGACCATCCAACTTCATGCAAGTTATTCAGGCTGTAAAAGAGGTGGCAGGTTTTGATAGTGCAACCAACACTTACAAGTGTCCAAGTCTGGCCCTCAAAATTGGACATAGCCTGACAAAGGTATCAATGCTTGTAGAAAGTCGTGCAAATGTACAAAACAATTACAGTGCTGCTAAAGATGCACGTACATTTCGCAGAGTGTACGAAACTCGCTGGAATGAAATGGTTTCGGCTGCATCACTGAGGACACTGCAGGAGGCCAGGTGGAACACCCCTCTGCTGCTTCCTTTCACAAAGGATGTCCAAACTCTCCACTCCTATTTGGATGAGAAACAGCAACATTACAGCTCAAAACTATCCACTGAGACATCCCCGCAAACATGGTCACAGCTGACCAAGGTCACGTTGACTCAAGTCATCCTTTTTAATCGTCGAAGAGCTGGGGAGGTGTCAAAAATGCCCATGACAGCATATTTGTCTAACAGTACATCAGATCCTCAAGATGATGTGATTGATGCCCTGTCACCTGTTGAGAAGAAACTCTGCCAACACTTCAGACGGATCGAGATCAGGGGAAAAAGAGGAAGAAAGGTTCCCGTTCTTCTGACCCCGGCAATGCAGCATGCATTGGATTTACTTACCAGCAAACGGCAGGAATGTGGGGTTCCTAAAGAGAACAGGTATCTTTTTGCTAGACCATCTGCCTTTACATGCCTCCGTGGTTCTGACTGCCTTCGACATTTTGCAAAGATCTGTGGTGCAAAAAGTCCCGAAAGTCTCACCTCCACAAAGCTTCGCAAACAAACAGGAACTCTTTCACAAGTTCTCAACCTCAGCAACACAGAGTTGGACCAGTTGGCTGATTTTCTCGGCCATGACATACGAGTACATAGGCAGTTCTATAGGCTTCCTGAGGGCACCCTCCAGCTTGCTAAAATAAGCAAAGTTCTATTGGCTCTGGAGAAAGGACGCCTGGGAGAATTCAAGGGAAAGACCTTGGATGACATCAACATTGACCCGGAGGGTACTATTTATCTATCTCTCTTGTCTCCTTTTGAAGGAAATGCACTTTTTGTAATTATGTTTTCTGGGAATTTTTCACCATGTCAGAAACAAATGATCTTGAATAACACTCATTCCCCCTCACCCCTATACAGAGAATGTGCACCCTGACAGCGATCCTGACGAGGCATGCGAGTCGGGCTCTGAAGGTTGGTATTTACATACAATTTTATATGTGACCACTGCTGCATATTTGTAGACATCCATGTGCAATATCAGTTTACAGAATCCATTTGGAGCCTGCTTTTGTCTGTCAACAACTGGTCATAAAATGTTTTTGTTAACTTTAAAGCTCATCGGTCTTGATGTTCATTTGCAACATCAGAGAGGTGACTATGTAATGTCTGTAACGGCTTCATTTTAATCCCTGCACCAAGTTTAGTTTGAGCTTTTAGATTGCTGTTATAAGCACTTGCATGTCAAGCACAAGCATGGTGTTAGAGGTGTTGGGGGGCAATAGGGTAGGTTGATTTACCTCTTTTAGGTTAGGATATAACCAGGGTGGTGTATCCACAGATATCATAATCACAAGATGCCACACAACCCCAGGATGCTCCAAGACCACCGCCATCTTGGAGCAGTACTTGTTAATGGTTTTCAGTCAATTGTAGTTTTTGAGGCCTGTGATTCACCTTACAACAGCATTTGTTCACGTTCAAAAAAAGAGGGATCAAGTTAGGTTTGGTGATTTACTTAATTGCAATATCACCTCAAAATGTGCTTAATGGCACAGAAAAACAATACTAAGTATTTATCAACTCCATCAACTGTATTTATGTCACAGGCTTGAAACTACAACACTACTCAGCACTATATCGCTGTGTCAAAGAGCTCGTTAAGAGTTATTGAGTTAATATTTTTTTCAGTTTATGTGAATTGAAATAGTTTATGATCTAATTTCAGATAAGAGTTACAGAGAATCATTTTGCACATGTATTTTACAAGTATTTAGATTTATAGTTTAACCCTTCTTATCAGCATGGAGGATCAATACTGCAGTCAGTCAGCAGAGATCTTGAAATGTTTGTGAGTTGGGGAGAGCACTGTTATGCTACAGTCTGTAGTCATTAGACTTCCAATATGTCTGTGGGGTTTGTTAACCTGTACCTCATAGTGAAGAGCTTCAAATTATGACCAACATGTATAAAGTCAACCTTTATGCTAACATTTTAAAGTTAATGGATGAAAGTAATTATAACTCAGTTTTACACTTGACTTCATAACATCAAGTGACAAGAAGTGCCTTACTTCCTGTGAATTCAGTTTAGAGGTCCTTCAAAAGAAAAGCATTTCCTGTTAACCAGATAATCCCAAATCTTTCAATTTAGCAGGTAAGTTGACAAATACCCCCCTAAATAATGTAAATAATGTATTTTAACATGTCATTAGGAACTTACTAAACTAAATTTTACTAGAAAAAATATTTAAGGAAACAATTTTCATCATCCTGTATACAAATTTTTAATGTATCAACATATATACTTATCCTTTTTAACATGAGAAACTTGATCAACTTTAGGAGATTCTTGGTTACAAATATTAGATCAAAAAACTTTAACATAAAGGGGTTGAATGGCTTGTGTCACGTGTGCTTCACAATCAGTTAGAGCATGACCACAGTCACAATATCCAACTGGTTTTTCACCTATTGCACAAACGAGCTAGTGAGCTGTGGTGGATACAGTCTATATTCTTCTGCTCTGTTGTAGGGAGTAAGTTAACATCTAGTCAGAGGGAAGAGGATGCACCATCTGATGTGAACCATGATGATGCATCACCACAGCAGAGCACCACCGCACCTCAAAACACCAAACAACAGGGGTCACCAAAAACGGAAAGAGGCAAGTTCTCTGAGACCGGTCTGAAATCAGATTAGTTTATGGTGTGGTTGTAAATGTGTTTTCTTGGCATGTGCTGAAATGTGGATTGCAGACACACATTTGTGATTAAGATTTTTTTTTGGGAGGGGGAAGTTTCTGAGTTCTCATTCACCTATGTTACTTAAATTGCTTCTAAATCACTCCATGGTTAAAAAACAGAATTGATTATGTTTTTGTTTATTTACAGCTCGGCAGCCTGTTAAAAAGAGGCCTTGGGAAAGAGAGGAGATCCTGGCCGTTGAGAAACACATGATGTCCTTCATCACCACATGCCGTGTTCCAGGGAAACGCGACTGCGATAAGTGCATTGAACAAGAGAAAGAAGCGCTCAAAAACAGGAATTGGTTGGCTATTAAATTCTATATCAAAAACCGAATCACAGCTCTGAAGAGGAAAGTTTAGAGGGATCAGGTGTTGTCTGTTGACAGCTGTAGGAGGGTTGCATCACTTTTACTGTCCTCAAGGTAAAGCATGTTCTCTGGTTTATACCATTAACTTGTTAGTGTTTCCTTAGTGGTCGTATCATATCCATCATTTCTCAATTCAGCAATCTACCTCCTTATTTTAATTTATATTTGGATGCTTAGAGTTACTGTAGGTTGGGCTTCAGAGCTGTGTCATACAGTAACAGATTTGTCTACCTGTAAAGGGAGTTTAATGAAGAGTTTTGACTCTATTTATTTTTGTTATAAGCTGCCAATAACTGCACAGACACACTGTACCAGTTTTAAAAGAGGAGGGTGTTTTCTTTTGTTTTTGAAAGAATGTTAGTTTGTGGTTCCTTAGTTGAACAAATTTTGTTTATCCAGCATCTTCAAAAAAATTTGAATAAAAACTTTCAGCTTTTAAATTCATCCACTGTTTCAGGTCTAATCATGTGAACAGTATAAAAAATCCTTTACATAGATATATCTTTCTTATGTAGCCACATGCATATTAACACATAAGACACAAGACAGCTGTTGACTTCTGTCACTATTCAATTTAATTATTTGTACAATTTACCCTAAAACACAAAACATCATCCTTATCAAAACTATAAAATCAGCCCATCTGTGCTGTGTTAAAAATTAGAGTTCAGACAAGAGAAAGGGGAGAACTTTCTGGCTGAAGAAAACATCAGATGGTGCACTTCTAAGAAAGACACATCCTGTGAACATTGAAGGTATATCAGGTCAGGTTTGAGAGTAGATCTAGAGACTGATGCACTTATAATACCTTGAATATAAGCTGGTGATACTGATAAGAAATGTAATTGTCGAGATTGGTTCTCATCACTGTCCTGCACTGACAAGTGTGGAGTGGTCCCACAAAGTCTGTTTGATCTGATGTTTGTGTAAGTGGTACCCAGGAGGAGAGAAAAACCGGGCAGTGTGTAGATACTGACCCCAGATGTGGCCAAATACCAGACAGGTTCCCAGATGTCTGTGCCTAGTCTGGTCAGGGACCTCTACTTTGTCTAATTGGTAATTTGAAGTGATTTCTCTGTTTACCTACATGTCAGGATACTGCCTGATTTTTCTCAGTGCTGTACAACCTTCAGAAAGGTTGGTTCCCACAATGCATGGTCTGCTCATGTGTCCTGACCATAGCACAAAGACAAGGATGCGTGTGTGTGTGTGTGTGTGTGTGTGTGTTACCAGTCTCATGCTCAGGAGCCGAGTGTGTGTTCGGGCAATGTTGTTGTAAGCAAGGCTGCAGCCCCGCAGCAGCTCCAGCAGTTGGTTCTCTACATGCTGAGCATCAGTCGGTTCGCTGCGCTGGATTAACGCCTCGCCGCGCTGCAGCAGGGCATTCACACGGGCCGAGTTTGCGCACACACACTCCTGGAAAGACTGCAAACACAAACACAAAAATATACACACACAGCGGAAGAAGAAATTATGGGAGGGAGATATGAGACAGAAATGCATTTTTATTTAGACACAAACACACACCTGAAGTCGCTTCAGCTTCTCACACGTGCTTCCTGTGAGGTGATCTACCTCTAAGAGACGGACATCCAGGTCAGACAACCAGAGAGCCAGCTCCTCCCTCTCCGCCTCAAAACCCTCCCACTCTGAGACAAACAGCTGAGAATAGAGGCAGATTTTTAAACTTTCATCAAAATAAAAACTCATCCACAAAGTTAAAAAGATCTCTGACCTTTAGGCCTCCAGTGATGGATTCCAGTTTGGCGTTCACCTCGTCCCATCGCTGCCCACAGTCCCTGGTTGAAGCCAGCAGCCGAGCCCGCATGGCACCATGAAACAACCGAGTGAGCGTTCGATTCTTGCGAGTTAGATTGTCTAAGCGGACGAGCTGAGAACCTGCTTCACACTGTAGCCTCTGCATGAGTGAAATAAACCACATTAACACATGCATGTTCCCATTTCTCCTGCAGAGCTGCTGTCAGGTTACATTTTATGGCAATGACATCAAATCTCTTTCGTGTGGCGTTGACATTATTGAGCATAGCAGTGATCCAAAAGTTGAACTACCTCTACTGTGCACTTCCAGATCAAAAACCCACCGGCCCTCATTTATCAAGCTTGCGTACGGCAGAAAACTCGTACAACAATTTTGACGTGAGGATCGGCATTTATCAATCTACACGTGAGCGTACGCTGCGACCAAATCTCATGATAGGTGTGACAAAATTCATTAAAGATTAAGACATAAATAAAATAAAATAAAATAAATTTGTAATGTCCTTAGTAATTAGGCTTATTTGATAACTCTGCCCAGAAACACTGCCACTGTGGAGCGCTGCGTTTGACTCCTAAAAGGCAGGTGTCTCTGTCTTGGCCCAGCAGCAGGGACGTTGTTGTACCCTCCTGAAAGGGTGTGGGACATAATTTGAGCCAGTACAGTTTTGCACAATGTTGCACTGGTGAATGGAGTGCCGTTGGCTGTGCTGGTGCAACGTGAGGACCTGATGCCTGGAGAACAATAACGAGGAGAGACTCCAAAAAGGTGCTGTACAGAGGAGACAGGACCTTATCAATGGATTCTGGCGCCAAATGTGGCGCCAAATGTGCCTCAGGGGCAGCAACACGCCATTTGGTGAGGTTACCTTTAGTGTTTGTAAGAAATGTAATAAGTGGAACATTTTTCCTACATTTTGGTTGAATTAAGTTAGACAGGAGTAATTTGGTGCTCACAGATCATTTCCCCTGATGCGTCTCTGCTGCTACAACAGGAAGTGACAGAAACACAACGGCTTTATTCATTTGTGCTCTGACAGCCGCCTTAATGTGGGCTGGAGCTGCGAAGGAGGATTTGTGTGGCTCAGACTTCACAGCAGTGACCATCCTGACAGTAGAATTTAATTTGGACAAACAAGGGGAATCTGAAGTGTCCCGTCAGCACTGATTGATGCTGTGCTCCACTGCACACTCACACTTTGATTTAAGGTGGAAAGATGAGTGGATTTACAGAAATGCTGTCAGATTGGGCTCTCTGAGCAGCTGCAGAAGGATATTTGGGCTTCCCCTGGATTATGTCTTTAACCTGTGCTTGAACTACAGCTTAACTGTCCTGCTTTTTCGTTGGTTGAGGGCCTCTCCTGACATGGACTTTGTCTCAGACAGTTCAGATGTGATCTATAAATGAATCTTGCTCCAGTTTTTAATGTCCTGGTATCCGCATCCTTGAATTTGTGGTTGTCTTATCACTCAGGATTCATTTCTCCTCACCTCAAACTTCCTCAGTTCTTCTTTGGCAGTGATGTACGTAATGTGGGCGGGGCTTGGAGAGTTGACAGCCTGTGCAGCCAATCGCAGCCAGGTGTCCAAGTGGGCGTGTTCCTTCATAAATTCATGCCAGAGGACCCACCTCTGCTCCAGCCTGGAAAGATAATGCCAAAAAGTATAAGAAATGTTTAAATCTTCAGATAATCAGGATCAAACTCCTGTGATACTCACTCTCCACATCCCTGCAGGTCTCCATCGTGGCTCCAGCTGCCATCCACCAGCCGACTTTCCTCCCTGTCCAGCTCCAGTGAAGACGCAGTGAAATTAAAATGAGACTCTGACTGATCTGGTAACATCTCCATCCCTTTCACTTCCTCTCCACACACAATGTTACTTCCTGCAGCTGGGAGGAAAGAATCACCCAAAGAAGGCAGGTGTGGTGGGAATACTGGCATGCTGACATCACATGACCTTTACCTGCAGGGAGATGAGATACAGAGAAAACATTAACCCTTAAAAGATCTTCTTCAGTTAGTGAGACTGTAGTCAACGATTCAAGAAATAGAGCATTTGGGCAGAGGATATTCGCCTCCCTACATTCGGTAATGTAACAATGACCCTTAAAATATTCCTTACAACGGTCAGGTTTAAAAAGTGAACCCACACTGTGAAACAAGCAGGCAGACTGAACTTAGAGATTCTGAATCTTTTCTCTGGATGGGAAAGGAAACTAAGGAAATTCATCTTGTAGAGAGGGTTAGATCACCTGAGCAAACACAAGGACCTCTAACACAAACACACACACGCACTCTCTCTCTCTCTCTCTCTCTCTCTCACACACACGCGCACGCACGTGCACACACACCCGCGCACATACACACACACATTGATTCACCATTATCACCTCTTCGGGGACTTAGACACACAGCTACACAAATACAAATACAGCACACACACTACTTTGAGTTTTAGAGAGAGAGAGAGAGATGTCTGACATGCACTCGCTCTCCTCTCTCTTCTCAGTCTTTGTAATTACCTCCTGATTTACAGACGCAGCAGCTGATCACACACTCTGCTCTCACACTGACACACAGATTCATTAGCTGACCTGACCTCAAGTCTCTCTGTCTGCAGCAGCCTGCAGTTTTTAACCCAAACTGAAGCTAAAAACATGAAGGATGGATGGACCCGATAATGCGAGCTGTGTGTTTCAGCACGACTGGAAAACTCTGCTGTTGAAGGCAATAACATTAGCCAGACAATGTGTGAGAGGACTTTGGTTTTAATGACTTATTTTGACTTTTTTTTTATTATTGTGACACCCTCGGGGGTGTTTATTTTCCTTTCCCTTTAGAGATCATCATGTAGCTTTTAAGTTCTAAAGAAAACTGAACAGATTGTGATTGGCTGCATTTTCCAAGAGCTGAGGTGTACTCATCACTACTAAAGGAAACTTACTGGAGCAAATCTAAAATTTTGGACCCATATGTCATTTTTAACCCCCACACTCACCAAAAAAGGGCCTGGGGTTTAAAAACACCAGAATAACCTTTTGATCCATCTTCAATTTTCTACAGTTTGGACTCAGTCTCCCTCTTACCCTCACCTGTGTCCTCCCTGTCCTCTTCCTAAACATCATATTTTGAGTTCTTACCAACTGTGAGTGTGTGTATTAAGGTGTGTGTGTGCAAAAGTTTGTTTGTGTGTGGGCGTGTGCACCTGTGAACTACGAGCCTCCCAGACTCATAAATCAAGCGCTTCCTCCAGCACCACAGGGGGCTGATCACGCCAAGGTCTCATCCTCCAAACTCCCACCTGGGGAAAGTGAGTGTGTGTGTGTCTGTGTGTCTGTGTCTGTGTGTAATAGCAGAGGTTTGAGGCCAAGGCTTCGACCCTGCAACTCTGAGAGACCACATAGATTCCACTCAGTGTCTGTCTGCATCAGTGAGCGAGTGTGTGTATGTGTGTGTGTGTGTGTGTGTGTGTGTGTGTGTGGGTGTGTGTGTGTGTGTGACAAATATTTGATCATGTTAAAAAAAAGTAGGAAAGAGGTTGTGTCATGTTAAACAGCTTATATTCCAGGTGATCATTATTGTTTCTACAGAAATACCTGCATCACTTTCTTTTTAATGGGGAAAAAAATCGTTGAAGTAGGTGATTCATTCAGTCATTCATTCATGCATTCATTTATCCATTTGTTTATTTGGATAATTCTCCATAGGGTTTTTTTTTCTTCTGTTTAGAAGCACAATAACATCATGTCCATCATCACTTATTGCACCATAAATAATGCAAGTATCAATAAATTAAAAGATTTATAAATTTATAAATGAATAAAAAATAAAGAAATGTGGCCAAACAGAAGAGGTCCTGGAATAGAATACTGTGGAACCATGGTCCTTGAACCTGACTGGAGAAGACTTGGATTTGTATGTTTTGAGTTGAACGAAATGGGTGCAGATGTCATATGGACCAGTTTTAGGATGTGTCAGTGATTCCAACAGAGGCTAGTCTATCAAGGAAGATGTCTAGAGAGATGGTGTTGAGGGCTGCCATCAGATTAAATGTGTATGTAGATGGATGCACATGAGAATGTGATGATGGCTGCTTTATGTAACCTTAGTAAAGGTTTTTTTTCTTTTTTCTTTTTTTTAAACTGCTCTAGAAGATCACAACAGACTTTGTAGTGCGACTTGTGAACAAAATATAAGGAGCTTTATTGTTTTCTAGAAAATGAGAGTATTCTGTGATATCTAGCTGTCAGATTATCAATTGAAATGCTTCCCTGCTCACCTCTCCTGTGGCTGCAGTGCAGACAAGAGGAGGTTTGTTGTGCTGCAGCTAAGACACAACATATGACTGACATTTCAAACCTACAAGGACAAAAATAATGTAATGAGGTTTTATCTTTTAGTTAACTTAAAACCTCAGGGGTCATGATCACAAGTTATGTAGATCCAGCTTGAAGCTAGAATCCTCGCCCTCCTCCTAAAGATGCTTGTTGTGGAGTAAACCTCTGATTCAGTATCTCTAACACAATCAATCATGTCAGTCCTGTTTTGCCCAGCAACAGGTGACCTCAATGAGTTCCTGTAGGTGGTGTATGTGTGTGTGTGTGTGTGTGTGTGTGTAAAGAATGGACAGACAGATTCAGCTCTGATGAAGATGAAGACATTAAGAGGCTCAGTCTCCTGAGAGCAAATGGTAAAATGAACATCTGTTGAACATGTGGACACACACACACACACACACACACACACACACACACACACACACACACACACACACACACACACACACACACACTCCACTGATTTCCCAGATAAGCTGAAAGTGTGAATGTAGTACCATTATGTGGATTGAGCACAGAAAAGGAGAGAGAGAGAGAGCGCGTCTATTTATTGATGAGTCACCGGCTGCCTGCAGTTCAGGGCTGAAATACACACTGCTGCACTGCTGTGAGGCTCTCACACACACACACATAAAAGTGCACACACACTAAGTGATTTCATATCATGGACACTGTTTTTCATTTAATTCATCTCTGCTTTTTACTCTGACTTTTGCTCCCTTAACAACAGTTTATCAGCTTCTGCAGTGGAGGTCATGTCATCTCTCATTTTGTGGGATTTTGGGCACTCTGAACTTGCTGGTCTGGATTTTATTGAGGGAGGCGTTCTGGTTTCTGTTTGAAGTGCATTTGTAATCTAAGGAGTACTGACCAATCACGTATCAGCCAGCTTTGGCGTCTGCAGGGAAAAACAGTCTGTATGGAGAGCAAAAGTAGGAGAACCCAGCCCCATGGTCGGTAATCTAAGATCATTTATCTGTCTCTGTAAACGGAAGAAGATCTGTAAACACAGATCTGCTTGATGCTGCATCACCTCAGACAGCCAATGTTAAGATTAAGAAGTTATGACTTCCTCGAATGCATCCTCCTCTAAAAGTCCCACCCCAATCATTTTTATTTTCCCACTTAAAGTGTTCTCTCAGCGGTCTTTAAATTGTGATTATGAAGTTTTTAGTCAAAATCATGTTACCTGTGTCATTTTCAAGGACTTTCTTCTGCAGAGCTCCAGTAGCTCATTAGCAATTCACCTTTAAGTTGTAGGCAGAGACAGCGCTGCTCTGCACACTCCTCTTTATGCTAGCTAGTAGGCTAACATTGCCTTTGCCACTGAAGTTGCAGGTAACGTAGGAGCTATTCAGCTCTCAGACACTATTGTCTTTGGGGGCATGATGAAATCTTATATCATAACTAGCTTTCTTACATACATTGCAATGTGCTAACACACAAGCTACATACATTGCAACGTGCTAACACACAAGCTTGTTCTGCAATCGTCCTCTATATTTCTCTGAGTCTCGCCTGCATCACGGGGCTCCGAGGGCGGAGCTTGCAGTTGTGATGTAGGAAATCTCACTGTACCTGAATCTGCCGTTTGGGTCTACCAGATTCACAGAAATTAGAGTGCAGAATTACTCAAAAATGCAATTTTGCTCTTCGTTTTCTCATGATATGTCCTGTAGCATCAGAAAAATACCATATGAACATATAAAAAACAAAAAAAACATGATTTTCATCAGAGTGGGTCTCTAAGGACATACCTGACAAAGTTTGACTTTTTACTTTTACAACAGTCTTGGTGTTAAAAAAAAAAATAAATAAATAAAAAATAACAGGCTGGTGACAAAAACTCTGTCAGAAAGGTTGTTGGCATTAACCTTAGTGATGTCGCTCTATCTATCAGAGCCGCTCAGAAGACGTAGGCTTCCCTGGAGCAGAGTTTGGATCCCTGCCAGAGTGGAGGGTTTACTTGGGTTAGGAGGCCAAATCAAACTGATATCTTGGGTCATTTGTTCCATCAGCTGTTGGGCTCTCAAACAAACTGCAGGGATTGTTGCTGTGGCACAAATACTGCAGAATGGTTGGCTTCAATCTTATTTTTAACTGCAAAACTGTCAGCATGTAAATCCATCAGAGTTTTGTGTCTAAAATATTTACATTAATTTGTGTTTATTTAATATTTCTACTGCCAAAGTTTTAACAAAACAATCATTAAGTTTCATCACATGTATATCTTGAAATAAGGGCTTTGTGTAAATTTAATAATAAGTTTGATATTTTGCAGAATGACTATTGTACATACAGTCATTATAAAAGGTAGATCCCACAATTCTACACAATGTAAAGTAAAGAGGTCAGAAAAAAAAAACACATACAGAACAGTTTACTATTAAACAATCTAGTTTGCTCTTGTAGCTCCTAGATGTTTAACTTTATTAATCAAATTCTCCTTCAGATTAACTGAAAAAGTCCTTAAAAATTAGCTTTAAATGTTTGTGCTCTCTGTGGACAGTGCTTTTCTTGCGTTTCTTGGCAAAAAAAATCTCATCCTGACAGTTTTGATGGCAAAATGTTTAATTTAATGTGAAATGTAAAATTGGCTGTTTTTTTTTAACTGCTTGACTGACACCTACCCCTTCACGTGTGTTTCAGGCATTAAAAATAAAAATTTACCAATCATCTGTCTCATCCCTGACTGTCCTGTTCTCTTCCTGACATGATTAAAACTCATCAGTTTGTATCTCAGTCCAATTTATGCATGCCAAAAAAACACCTGACATGAGCTTTAATTTGATAACAGCTCCTCTCTTTGTCCTTAAAACTCTGCTAAGCACCACAGAAAGAGTCTTTCAAGGTGAGCCTGTTTTGTGTGGTGTTTTAAATCAAAGCAGGCGTCTGTTTTCATGACAGGAGGACCTCTGTGGATTCTTTGGCCTTCAGTAAAAACCTTGTAAATTTTGAAAACTCAAAGGTCACTTTTGACGCCTATTTCCACCAGAAATGCTGCTCCTGCACTATGACATGCAACTTCAGAACAACAGAGCTGAAATATGATGCACTTCATGCAACTTGACCTCTAAAGACTGAAGACAAGGTTTCTTTTAGAATCGAGTGGATGTAAAACCAGCAGCATCATTGTGTCTGGTACTTTTCCACAGGTGGGCAAGATTTGACTGTGACTCAGGGAGAGATGGATCAGTGCTGACAAACAAACACAGCACGCACACCCACCCACACACACACACACTCATTTGCATCATTTGAATTTAACTATCATTACAACAAACATGCAAAGCTTATAGAGCCGAGCATCTGATTGTGTCTAAAAAGACGTTTGAGACAGCAAAAAAGCCTCCTGTTAGGCACCGTTAATAACCATGCTTTGCAGTCTGCATGGATATCTGAGCTCCTTTTCATCACTACAGTTTGTCACTCACTGTCATTTTTATAGAGGGCTTAACATTTCCAACACACACACACACACACACACACACACACACACACACACACACACACACACACACACACAGCCTGTCTCTCAGTAAGCCTTTAACCAAACACCTCGCTCAATCAAGCCGACAGAAAATGAGTCTGAAACCTGACATTAATGATGACTTCACTGATGATGTCAGAGACGCTACCAGCTGGGCCAGACAAAAAAAGAAAATACTGTAATGTGATTGGACAAACGAGCTCACACAGAGGAGTCTGATTGGGAGTGATAACTGATGCTTCCTCATCCAATATGATTTTTGGACAGCGTCCTGTGTGTGTGCTTGCGTGCTTGCTTGCGTGCGTGTGCATGTCTCAGATCAGTAACCTCTTTGACTTTGAACAATAAGAGGCTGACAGGACAAACAGGAGGCTGAGTAACATCGCTCACCTCTTTTGTCTCGACTTCCTCCCAACAAAATTTGGTCAGGATACCAAAGAAACCAAAGAATCAATGAGACAAAAAGTGAACCTTTAAACCCTGTTTTAACAGCAGAGGGCGCTATATCGCCCTCTAATTTCTCTTGTTGGACGTCATTACGTCTCTTTCTTCAATAGCTCAATAGAGATGTACAGGCATTGTGGCAGTATGTGAAGATTTTCAAGTGAGAGATGAAGATATGGCGAATTCTCACACTAAGAGAACATAGAGGGTGGGGGGGCACAACTGAGCCAAACAACAGTAGTTCCTCACACTGAAGTGAATTAAGTTAACAGTTGTGTGCTGCAAATTTAACATTGTGCACATTTGGATAAATATTGTAATTGGTGTACCGACTTGCTTAGAAATATTGGACTGTTGGTGTTTTCGTCTGCTGTGCTGTCCAGAGTAGTTGTAGCCGTTTCTCTCTGTGTCACCCATGTAGTCACCAATCTTAAGCTTGATTTACATTAGATTATTCGACATTGTTCGAGGTTCCTGCTCTGACTTCTACTGCATGCGGGATGGAGGTTTTGTCCTTATCAGATCCTCCTCTGCAGCTCGGCTTTAATTGAATGAATTAAAAGAAAACCTCGTTCCAGGAGCCGTTATCTGGACTCTGAAGTCAATTTTTAAACTACTCTGAAAGGTCATACAGTGTTTGGTACTGGCCTGATTTAATGCAGCTCTCCAGCACGCTTATCGTGTTTTTTTTCCCCCTGTTGGCAGATGTTTTTGTTCGATACCAGGAAACTTCTTACAGAATATTAGATGTGTATGCAGCGATGTTTCTGCTCTGCCTGCAGGAGAGCAGAGGCAGACAGACCAAGCAGCATGAGGGGATGGGAGGAGGCAGCTCATCTGCACGATTAAGACTCATCCCTGCTGAGATGATGAGGATATCACCTCTTCCTCTCTGCTGTACACCGTACTGTAGCCATAGAGGAGCTGGATTCATGTTATTAGGATTAAGAAAAGGGCTTTTGTTGAACCTGACGCTGATACTGAGCTGAGGAGGAGATTGGGGTAAGAGGAAAAGAAGAGAAGTTGGACTCTGAAGACTCAGCTTAGACTCATTTGAATATGATTCATGTCCTGAGACCTGGAAATGCACTAAAAAAAAGAGATAGAGAGGAGTCGATACACAGCTTTAACAACAGGCCGGTCAAAGGTGGATTCATGACTTCAGGTCTGCAGCAGCCACAAACTGGAAAGTTTTCAACTGTAGAGTCCACTGATGGAAAAAAAAACAAGTTCACAGAGTCACAGTAATGAGTGCCCCTCATCCTGGACCAGTTTGTATCCTGTTAACCCTCCTAAGTAATGAGGGGCATCCAGATTAGCTGCTAGACTGAAGAGTCCAAAATGGCTTGGAGACTCTGAGCTCAGCTAATGATATCATATAATATCACATGTTAATAAAATGTATATTTGTTATTGCATTCAGCGATGTGTACCTTCCATGCAGAAGTCCAGCTGTTTCTTGTATCATCTGCTATTATGCCTCTTTTATGGCTGCAAAAATCATGGGTGGTGCAGTTGATGCATGTACCAAAGGGTGCTTACCTCTGAGAGTGCACATGCGAACAAGATCTGGTGAGCTGCAGCTATTAGAACTGATAACAGACACTAAGAAACTGGTTACATTAGTGAACTAGTTAAGTAGCATATACATAAAGATTGGATGGTGATTGTAAAGTTTCAGCCAGGTTTTTTTATCGTCTTCTCAGTAAATCAAAGAAAAGGCTTTCTAGTGATGTTTGTTTATATTAACGACGGCTTTATGACTCCATGTCATTGAACAGTTATCTGCTCATTGAAGCCCATTTCTGCCAGTACATAAAAAGTGGGAGACGGGACCTCAAAAAAAAGGAAATCTGAATATTAAATCAAAATACCGAGAGAAAACGTCAGAATGACGAGATAGTCATATTTATGGGATAAATCAAAACTACAATGTATCATTATCCTTTGAAATGAATATACAAATATTTTGATATGTGTCCCATAGTTTTGACATTGAATTGCTAAATTCAAATTATTTTTTCCTCTCTATTATTTTATAATCATGTATTTTTCATCTCATTATATATATACTTTTATAACTTTTTGATATTTTTTATAACTTCATCTTATAATTTAATGTTTTTTATTCATAATTATTAACTATTGACACATAATTTTAAGTTTATTCTCAAATAACTTACTTGTCTTATACTTTGGACTTTTTATCTAATTAAGTTATGTCTCATAATGACTTTTTGTCTCTTTTTTCACCTTGTTTCTCAGTGTCTTCATATCTCTAGATTTGATCCTCTGTTTTTGTAAAAAACAAACTGCTTTCTGATAATTCTGTTTATTATTATTTTTTTTATCTCATCCTTATGACTTTTCATTGAAAAAAAAAAAAAAAAACTTTAGCTCTAATTCATAACCAGTACTATTATCTTATGATGTTTTCTTAATCACTGGCATTTATCTAACAATTTTGACTCACAGACTAGCCTTTACTGTTACCAGACAACATCAGAACCAGAAATTTGGACTTCAATGTCACATACTTTACAGGCTTTGACATTAAAAATATCTAGGTTGAACATTATTCCATACTAAAATCAATTCAACAGCAGTAAAAGTCAGAGAACAAGGCTGACTTTGTGGGCTGATAAATGAAATATCACAATCTCACTTTGCCGTGATTAGAGCAGGACAAATCCGGATCTAGTTCCTGTTTATTCTGACGCGTGTTTGAGAGTTTTGAACTTTTATCTGTCGCAGTCCTGACGGGATTAAACAGAACCGTTTGGAGCTAATGAAACTGAATTTGAAAACATGATTTGACATCATTCAAAGAGGGAAGAGTGATTAATTTAATATCTGATGAAGCCTCAGAGGATTTATCAGCCTCAGCTGAACGATAATATCAATAATGCATAATTAATATTTCTATTTCATGTACAAATCCAGATGAGGAGACTCATGGACCTTTTCTACAACTGTTAACAGTCATACAAATCTCTCTACTTGAATGTGATGTTCAAAGTTTCATTCGTTCCACTCCTAAAATCCCACTTCTGCCTTATTTACCCATTTTCACTTCTAAACTCTGGTGTTGTAATTAGGAAACGCTGATGTTGAACTTTTTTCTAATCTCCCTCTTTCCTTGAATGCAGCGTTATTTCCTTCTAATGCTGCAGGATTAAAAACAGCATTAGAGGAAATGTTCACCTGAGGAGGAGAATCTTTTTTCCATTTGTTTACCACACACGCCTCAGAGTGCGTTTGAGGTAAAACCACGTGACGTTTTAATTTGGCGGTAACCTTCACATTTAGAAAAGTCCAATCAAAGCAGTGCTGAGCATGCAGAGAGAAGCAGTGCAGGTCAGTGAGTGCAGTTCACAGGACGCTGAAGGAGGCACTGAAATGCATCACTCCCTGAAGTTTCAGCAGCCAGAAGGAGAGATGAATGGCTCCTATTAGAGCGAGGCTGCTTTAGAGCGAAAGTGATATTCAGCTGAGGAGGTGATGAAGGTGAGAGGAAGTTAAGACTATTAGAGGCGAGACTGATTAAAATAACGTCTGTGTCCCGAGACAAAGTTAATCATCCCCTCTGCTCTTCAGCTGTGCGCACACACACACACACACAGACCTGACACCTGAGCTCAGGGCTGCTGTGTCACCACTTCTAACATCATTTCTGTGTTTCTGACAGAGGAGGTGGTGTTAGCGGTCCTTTCAACATCTGTGAGTTTGGAACAAGTCAATAAGACGCGCATGGGGGATGATGAAACCTGCAGTGGCATGAGGCCAGAGAAAGAAAAGGGTCTGTGTGAAACTCACTCTTAGGACCAGACAGAGCAAACATGAATCAGGGAACGATTTCTGGATCCCATTTCAGGACAGAAGAAGATGGTCTAAAGCAAACTGCAGAGTCAAGCTTTCATGTTGTCTTCTGGACTTTCTCAGTCCTATTGACATTAAATCCAGCTATACCAATGTAGCTGCACCATGCAAAGAGGGAACCGTGTGCAGGTTTACAAGTGACAAATGACTTCTTTATGAAAACAAAGTAAAAAACTGTAGCAAGACCTGGCTGATCAAATTCTGTCTCCCAGAGACCACCCAGCTTGTTCTCAGCTCCCAGTCCAAATCCAGCATCCCTGATGATATGGGGATTGTCAGGGTCCATGTCATGGGTAGCTTCTACATCTGTGAAGGCTCCATTAATGCTGAACAATATCTACAGGTTCACTAAAGTTTGCAGAGTTGGTGAAAGAAGAGTTGATGACACACAATGGGAAACATGATCCTGTAACAACTTCTTTCAAAGACGCTGTTATTTGCCCTTGACAGTGAACTGAAGGTGAAACTTAAATTTCCTCTCACCCAGCTCTTCAACACTGACGCACTCTTCTCCTCCTCTTCGTCACCTTCTGAGCACTCTGAATCACAGACATGGTGTAAAAACTACAAGTGTACAGCCATGGGCAGCCTGCACTGACATCTGTGTGTGTGTGTGTGTGTGTGTGTGTGTGTGTGTGTGTGTGTGTGTGTGTGTGTGTGAGCAACATAAGGTCTGGCGACACACACTACAGTACGGCTTTGTCCCCTCAGGACATCACTACCTGCAGAATCTGAGGTCAAACAAAAACCTGAAACCAGGACAAGCAAAAGCAGATTACTCTTAACTGTGAATTAAAACGGATTTTTTTTGGGGTGGGATAAGATGCAAAAATGAATCCTGCAAACACTAACAACTCTTCAAGTCAGATTCATACTGCTGTCTTCTTATACAGCAAACAGCACTACGCAAGTTTTTCCAATTGAGTTACAAAAAAAAAAAACTTGCCTGTACTTTTTCTTTTTCTCTCAGATTAAAAGGACTTTTATGTCCAGTGAAATGTTTCTGCCATCACTTGTTTAAACACTAATCTTTTTTTAGCTTTGTTGCAAGAAACTGACTGGCTCCATGTCTGTCTTTGTCCCTCTTACACATCTCCCTCCTCCTCCTCCTCCTCCTGCCCTCAGAGTCAGAGCTTTGTCTCATCCAGACAAAAGGAGGCAGGCAGGGAACAAGCAGCCTTTCTGTCCTCCTCAAACTCAGAAAGAGAGAGCGAGAGATAGAGAGAAAGAGAGAGAGAGAGAGAAAGAAAGAGAAGAGGGGGGCTAAATGCAACCTGATCTCTGCTTTCGAACTCTGCAGAAAAGTCAAAGGAAAGAAAGGAGACAGTGAGAACATCTGGAGGGTGAACAGTTTACAAATCATCCTGAAAATAACTGACAGAGAGAAAACTTATCACCAAAGCTGCAGGGGAAAGGAGAAAAATGTTCAAAAAATGATATTCTGTATTTTTCTTGTCAGCAAATCCTGAGAAAAGGCCAAAGCATGGTCTGCTGTTTCTGTTTTATGGCTCAGCAGGCCTGATGGTTCCTACCTGAGAAGTAAAAATCCATCCATGCCACACCATGGCTCAGTGATTCATTGTTTTTATGAAGAAAAGAAAGGAGAAAAGAGAGAAATCATGCATTTGATGAGAACGACTCTCAGCAGCTGATGGAAGCAGATATGGTGATGAGGTTATGCAGCAGGTCTTCTGACTTTCTGACTTGCAGTGTGTGAATTTTAGTGATGATATAATGTCATAGTAAAAACTCCTGAATGGACAGCGTGAACACATGTTTCAGAATGAACATCCTTCACTGTAAAGGTGCCTGTTCGCCCTTTCACATTTGCACTCCTAAACATTTCTTGTGGTTTTCAGGCACTTTGCATCCCACAATTTTTAAATTTGCCCATTTACTCTGCACCTTCACAGTCCACTCCATACAGTTGAGAAAGAGACTTTTGTATTTAAAAACATTGTTTTGGTTAATCAATCAAAATTTCAAACATGCCAGAAATTCATTCAACCAGTCGGGAGCAGCTGATTTCACTGTGATTGAACCCCTGACCTCCAAAACATGACACACCATACAGTGTCCAGACTTTAATAAAATGCATCCACACAGTATAAAGAATATTGGGATTTCCCTGCAGACTCCAGTAGATCATCAGTTGTTTCTTTTCAAGTATCATGCTCCATTTCTTCAGGTGATATTGTCTACACTTTGAAAAGCACCTCCAATGCAGCTCATGGGCTGACCTTGCAGAGAGCTGACACTCCTCAGCACTTAATGAGTCATTATGATCATATTTGCCTGAGGTAAACTCTTATTATAGGCCAGTGAGTTGTTAGCATGCCCAGCTTGTCATGTTGATGCAGGTGTTTTATTGTAAAGTGGCTATGAGGTTTGATGACCTTTAATAACTACATTTTTTTATTTTACTTCCCGAATTGCTAAAATTAGTTTTGCAAATACCAAGATCGCGTTAATCCCTGCAATTTTAGCATTTCCAGTTTTGATTTATTTAAGAATATTAGACTGATATGACTTCATCATTCTGGGCTCAGTGATAGTGTCAAATGTGGTTGCAGGCAGAGCAGGACTTTGAAGTTTCAAAAGGTGTCAGAGGAGCTTTTTTACCGAGCAGATCTTAATCTCATGACCCAAATACGTCAATGCTCCTGCAGATTTGAATGTTAAACTAACTAAGCTGGAAGTGGCGTCAGGAGGCAGCAGAGTGCGGTGAATTATACGGCCTGAAAAGGGAAGGTGTTTGAGAGGTGGATAAGAAGAAAGGATCACAGGCAGAGAGTGAGGGAAAGCGCGAGGACACGTCCCTGAATCTGACGAGAAATGTTCGTCTGAAGACTAAAACATGACAAAATCTTACAGGGAGATTCCAGTTTATGTAACCTGGACTGTTTCTGATGTATTTGGATAGAAGATAAAATATTTAGAATTTCTTCCGCCTGCAGCCCTGAAACTGGCTGTAATGGCTGCAACAACAATATCATTCAAGGGAAACCGGACTTTCTCTCATATTTATAACTTTATTGCTAAAATGTCATCTTTTTTTCCTTTAATACTCCAGCCTCATTCTCACAATAACGCGGTTTTACAACTTGATTCTCAAATTTGCAACTCTATTCTTCCAATCTTGTCTGCATTTCTTCCTTAACATGGCCTAAATACTCTGTTGTAGTTTTCAAACATGCAATTAACACTGACTCCTCAACACTTCCTGAAATTTTCAGAGTGGGTTATGTGTGTGATTGCAAATAGCAATAAGTTCTACCTGAACTTCCCCTGGACAATTTTCTGAAGTAAAATTTTCACTGCAAGTCAGAGTGATCTGATGTGAGGACGCAGCAGGAAATACTGGGGGGGGCGGGGATTTTTAGGGTTGCACATGTGAAAAAGGCTTTTGATTTCTACAGAAAACTTCTGCAGAAGAGAGTTTGGGTAGATCGATAATGATGATTGAAAACCAATAAAAAGAAAGTATTTTACTGCACAAGTAATCAGACCATCAATTATGCACACAGACCTCTAATTAAGGCCGACATTTAACAGTCACAACATGAAGCCACACCCAGAGAGAAAAAGAGATTCCTCTTTTATTTACGTGCCTCGCTGATGCATACTGATTACCTTTGGTACAGCTCTCCTGTGCTGCTCCATGAGCTGATTTTCTCACATAAAAGATAATAACCAAACTGTTTGGCCTTTGAGTTATTCTTATATTTCACCAGCTGTTTGGTCAGGCCTTTATTTGTGTACAAGAGAAACCTGAAATCCAAATGCTGAGTCTTAAATCCAGCAGGGTCTTTGTCAGCCAGCTCGCTCTGTGCTGTCAATACACTCCACTATAGCTCAATACAGAAATGATAATGATGCTGAGTTCAAAGCTCTGAGGTCTCTTATATTAGAGATGTTCGGTCAGGGGTGTGGACAAAGTCTGGCCCTCATGGCTGCAGGGTCAGCAGATCTAACTGTGTCATACTCTCAGGTCACACTCTGATGGAGGTGTACAGTATCACTGAAACCTGAATGATGTCACCCAGCTCAGGTGAACAGAGCTGCAGCTTTCTCACTGTAACTGTGTCACATTTCAGTGAACTGTGGCTACAGTTTCACTCCAGTCACCTGAGCTGATTGTTCATGTTACCTGAGAGGCTGAAACACAGCGAGAAAACAGTTTGACCCTGTTCTCACCCGAAACTGTGACAATGAAGCTTTATCAATGAAGGACAAAAATTAAGCTCTTAATGTTCTAAGTGTCCGATTTCCTCTCAGATGTTTCTGCAACTCAATTCAACGAGAAAGCAAGTTTAAGAGAAGAGAGCAGGGAGAGGAGCAGAAAGAGGAGAAAGAGTTCTGATTAATAAAAAACTGCCTCCAGCAGCATTTTGAAGACTTTTTTTGTAACTCTTCACTTCTTTGTTTCTGTTGCTCAACAGAAGACCAGTTCCAGCTTGTCAAAAATAATAGAGGGCTGGTAGATTTGTCATTTCTGCAACCCTGGACAGCAGGAAGCCTGGAGGTTACAGAGTGTCCTAATAGACACAAATTTATCTGGGTGTGGTGGTTCTTTCTCAGGAAATTTTAATCATCTGACATTTCTGATGAATATCTATTCAACATTTAGAGGTGGGAAGTTATTTATACACAAATATCACTTTCTGGAAAGGGCTCTGACTTTAGTTAGTTTTCATACAATTATTGAAAGTGAGTCATAGACTAAACTGATTTAATGCTTCAACAAAATAAAGACTTAATGGAGTGACAATATTAACTAAGGAATCTTGTAGGCCAGCTTATCAAACACTAGAATATGGTTAAACAACCAAAAGGGCACTTTTCCTCTTTTTTTATTATTTAGGGGGTAGAAAATTCTCAGTGTTGTAATTTGATTAAATAATGTTTTATCTCAAACATTTAAAAAGCAAGTCAAGGATCCTACAAAATGGGGTTTCATTTCTTCATTTCAAACCTTCACCTCACTCTAAGGGATTTTTAATGTCAGGGAGTTTTTTTTAATTCGGGTTAAGTGAAAGTAAAACTATATCCTAGTGAGACATAAACATTTAAAACCTGTGGTCCAACTTTTAACAGCAGACTGGACCATGGATGGTATTGACTTCAGCTGCCTGCACAGATCGGTGAGTCTAGAGACAGTTGCTGTAATAATGAGTCCTGAGGCAGCAGCTAAAACAAATACTGATTAGTAGAGTTTTAAGAGTAAGACAGCAGAAGGAGGAAGAGGAGAGAAGATGACTGAGCTGAGTTTAGAGTGAAGAAGCAGAGCAGGCTGTGAGTCGATGAGAACGTCTTCAACATGATAATGTGTTTTTTTTTGGTGGTGTCTCTGAGGCTGCTGGGCTTCATTATGACTCAGATTACCTGAGCCCCCCCCCCCCCCCCCTCCCTCCCTCTGTCATGATGGCAGCAGTCCACCCAGACTGTGTGCAAGCTAACATCTGCAGGCTGATGTCCCCTCTGACAGCCATAACAACACATAATGTTATTACATCATTAAATCGCTGCTACCTCCAGCTTCACGGCTGCTGTTACCTGCAGCTCACCACAACTCTGCACACTAACACTCTCAAGACTGTCTCCTAATGATTTCTAGAAACTGTAAGAAGATCCATGATACTTGTTCATTTCAGTCTAAAGGTGATCACATGTAAGTACTCAATTAGATGAATATCTTTAACACCCACACCAACCAGCCAAGATGTTTTGCAGGGGAAACTTGTTTGGATGTAAAGATGAAGTAATTAGATGTAAGTTAACTGTATTTCTGATTTTTTTCAAAACAATTCAGTCAAGATTTTCCAAACAGCTGGGCCTTTTTTTTTTCTTTTGACAATTGTACAATCCCAATCCAATAATAGTTGTGTATAAATGTTGATAAAAACACATTTTGTTGGTTTGCAACTTATTGAAAGCTAATATATTATTTAAGATAGTGCTGACAACAAATCAGACACCGAAACTTAAACATGTTTTTGTTTTACTGAAAAATATCCACTCTAACAATGAAATTCACCGCATGGGTTCAGTTGTTCCTCAAAACACAGTAAAGCATGTTAAATCAATCTATGCAAAGAGGAAACTAGATACAAACACGATCTAGGGACACCAGAGACTTCTCTGGACCTGGACCCATGGTCTGACAAATTGACAGTCTTTTTGGAAACCATGGATGCTGAATCCACCGCTCTGCAGAGCTTAGGGACCACCCGGGTTATAACCACCTCCCAGTCCAAATCCAGCATCCCTGATGGTATGGGGATCATCAAGAGTCCATGTCATGGGTATCTTCCACATCTGTGAAGGCTCCATTAATGCTGAACAATATCTACAGGTTTAGGAGCAACATCTGCTGCCATCCAGACAAAGACTTTTTTTTAGGGAAGACCATCATATTTCAGCAAGACTATGACAAAATATTCTGCAGGGATTACAACAGCATGGCTCTGTAGGAGAAGAGTCCTGCTGAGAAACTGGTCTGTCTATAGTCCTGACTGAACACATTTGGAGCATCATGACATCACAAACAGGACAAAGGAGATCCTGAATATCTGAGCTGAAATCCTCGGACAACGTTCCGTATTCAGACCCCTGAAACTGGTCTCCTGGGTTCACTCATGTTTACAGAGAGTTGGTGAAAGAAGAGCTGATGCAACATGATGGTAAACATGTCCCTTTCACACCTTTTTTGATCTGTGTTTCTGGCAACATAATATCTGAAATAATGCAATAGAAACTTTCAGTGTCTTTGCAGTATTTAACACAAACCATTAAATTCTGTTTAGATTAACTTTTTAAACAGCGTCCCAACTTTGGTGAAGTAACTCACATACATGCTGAGCTGCGTTCTAAAGCATTTACAGCGGAAGAGCTTCACTGTGAGTGAACAGATGAACCATCTCTGTCTGACAGTCAAATGAATTTTTAAACTCTAAGCAGAGCTTTGTGAAGCTCAGAGGCTTTAAGCTGAGTTTGAAAACAGCAGTGCCCTATTTTTCTTCTTCAGTGGTGTGTTGTGATGATGCAACGATCAAAACCCAACCCAACATGCAAAGAATGAGACAATAAACCTCAGAAAACAGAAAATGATCCGGCGTCATGCATCTGAGAGTGTAAAACACAGAGCTATTCTTTTCCCAAGCTTATCATCACTGTTACTGATGATTTTATGTGGAGTGGTCTGAGGTGAGTGCACTATATTCACACTAGAAAGGACACCACTCCTTTTGATCAGCTGTGTAACTGATGCAGCACCAAGTCATGAACATGTGAGGAAGTCTGCACGTTCATCATAGCCATCAGTTCACCTCAGAGGAGATGTGTGACTCCTGCAGAGACCACAGACAGAGACAAACAGCGGCAGGTTTAATTGTTTCTTCAGTTCAGGTGTGGCAGAGGATCGGTCTGCTGGCAGAGGACCAAGCGGCTCAGCGAGTTGTTGTTCTGTCATTAGGAGGAGAGACGGTTTTAACACCACACCACAGAGTCACATTCCTGTAGAACAGCCGCACCACAGCCAACTGAGACTGCATCTGTGAGAGCCAATGACAGCCTCTGTTTGTTTGTTTTCATGGTGAGGTTAAGATAATAAGCTGGGAGGACCTTTGACGTACCCTGACATCACCTGCTGGAGAAATAACTGCTGGAATTTATTGCAACCATGTCATGTTATAAGTCATAGTTTTTCTAAGGCCAGAAGATGCTTTCACATACCAGTTTTCAAACAATTTAGTGGTTAAAAAACAGACAATATTTTATCCCTTTCTGAAGAAAAGCTTGAAAATGTCTGAACACTTCAGCCTCTGTCTAATTATTCAGGACACTCACCCCCACATGGCCTCAGGTTTGGCCTGGGGTCAGAGGTAAAGCACCTCATTTTATAGGACTCTCTTTTACATGTACTGCCTTTGTTCAGTCTCACTCAAAACTTGAGAAACACCCATACTTTCTAGGTAAAGAATAATGTATAGTGAGCAGGTGATTATGCCAAAAATAAACCCAACAGGGTGGCCCAGACATAAAATGGACCAGAACTTCTTTCCAAAAATCTATTTGATATGATTTAAGCTGTCTGTATGAATGTAAAACCAGCAGGGCTTAGCACCTGCCCACAGTGCCAAAGCTCCCATCAAATAGTTTGCTGATCATGATATAACTGCACTTGATTGGCCAGCTAACTGGGTCAAGCTGAACCCCAAAGAGACTCCATGGGAAGACAATAAATAATGGCAGACCCAAGACGGCAGACCAGCAGAAGGAGCTACAATAACACCTCAGCAGAACTCCAGGCCAGTCACCTCCATGCCACGCCACATATTATATCCTTGCGATGATTGATTTGTTCAAAGACATTCATCAAAAGCTGAATAGTTTGGTGGATTTCATCAAGGCCATTGCTTTCTACAGATAAATTTAGGCACCTTTATAACAAAAATGGTTTTCTTGATCTACAGCCTCTTTGATTCAACCAAAGCCACAGTCTTCCCCTCTGAACCTCACAGGGCGATTCAGTGCCCACATACAGCCAAACTTTTCTGACTAAAGTGATTGCTTTCAGGAAAGGTCGTGGGTTGGGCTAAAACACATTAACACTGTCGCACACGGGACACGTGCAGAGATCCATCTGGGTGTGAGCAAAAGTATTTTCTGCCAGAGAGCCCTGGAGGTAAGCTATTCATGCCAATGGAGAGTAAAGACTGTGACGAATGACACAAAAAATGCTTTTGTGTTACAGACATGAATTATACTTTTGACTCAATTACTTAAGTCAATAAGTTCTCCAGTTTTACAAGCTATAGTAAGAACCCCCTGAACTGGATCTGCTGATTTACGATTTCTATGCTTTTTTTGTTGATCCTCTTGTCTCTGAATTTTAATCTGCAGCAGTAATTTGTCTCTTAAATGATAACAATGAACACCAAAGAAGAAGTCAATCCACCAAACCAAAGCCAGTGAAATTAAGGTGTTTCATCGCCTAAATGCAACAAACTCAGCCCAGTGTGCAGCTCTGCTTCTGCAGAAACAACCCGATCTGACATGTTAACTACAAACCTCACTCGTACCATCTTTTTCTTTGCAAATCAGAGGCTTTGGCCCAAGAGGCTTCATCCTCAGCATAAATCAATCAGACTAATGCTGCTCAGTCTGTTAGTTCACCCATAAATCAATCGCAGATCAATCACCAAGTCTATCTTCTTTAGATGATCTTCAGCTGGGATGGCTCCGAGATTTACAATATTGATTAGATAAATAAATAACACGGTAAAAATCGATTCTTCCAGACTTGAGAGGCTGTTACGTGCAACTGCAACCATGGCAACAGGGGGACACAGGCACACAAACACACATCGCTGTGAAAACACCTGTCCTGAGGACACACAGGACACTGGATACACTCCCAACAGCAGCAGCCTGGAGTCAATGAATGTCTCTGTTTCTCACACACGCTCACCCACGGACACACTCATCTGTGCACGAACACACATTCAAACCGGTTCCTTGGCTGCAGAGTCTAAATTGTTACCCTCACGGTCTCGCATGAGGCTACATGTTTCCTGAAAACAGCATGAGCTTCAAATGACACACACACACACACACACAGAGCGGGAGTTCAAGCTCAGGAGACCTTTGAAACTTAGGTTTCCTCTGCTCATACAACGAACAGTCTGACACAGCCTTACAAACCCGGAAACAACGTCAGGCAGGTAGAACAGAACCGGCAAACGTGACCTGATAGCGTCTATTTGATGATTGACTCACCGGCTGCAGGATGAGCTCATTACAGGAAATATAGCAGTGTAACACGTCCGAGATTTAAAAAAAGAGCTTAAACAGCCCAAAACACTCCGATGGTCCAGGTGAGTTGACAGCGTCCAATCAGCTGATAGGTGAGTGATGAAAGTCACCTGCTCAGGTAAGTCTTCTTCACTCTGCAGCAGGAAACACACTGACGCGCTGCACGTAACCTGAAACTACCTCCTCCAGGTAGTTCAGACCACGCCTACTGTCAACTCTTTCACACAGAGGCACACACCTGCAGCTGCTCACCAGAGCTTTCATCTCCGTCCAGTTTTGAACAGGTACGCGTCCTCATCCACCTCCTCAGTCAAAAAAGAGTCACTTTTGCATGCTCATCTAAAAAAATTCTTAGCCTTCATTCTTGTTTAGTTCATTGTTATTGTTCAATGATCATTTAAACAGTTTGTCCAGAACAAGGGAACAGTGAAAGGCGCAAAGAAGGAGAGCAGAACTTGGAATGGGATGCGGCCTTTCCAGTTTACTTTTCAAAGGTACTAAAACCATAAAACCACCTAGTGATCTTAAAGTTATAAACACATGGATTAATTTTTAATAGGAAAACAGTAAAACTTTCTTTGTGCTCAGGAAGTTTGAGTGTCAGGGGTAAAAAAAAAGGAAGGTTACCTGCTGCAACCATGAAAGACTCACTTGGCATAACAACCAAACTGACAAGCAGGTGAGACAGTTGGGGATTTATTTATTAATTCATTTTGTTTTTATTTGTTTTTATTTCCATGTGCTGACGTTCTGTGCCTTATGACTAGTTGTCAAAACACTTAGTTAACCTCTATTTTTTAAAGTGCGATAAAAGTACAGTTATTATTCTTAATCAAAATTAAATATTTATACACTCAGAAGGCATATCTATCCCTGAAATTTTGTCTTAATTCCCCCTCAAATAAATGACTGAGACATTTTATTTATTTACCCTGAATAACCAGGATACAGTTCTTAAATCTTCCTCATATTTTAACCCCGTCTCCACACTGGCAGGATTTGAGTTCAGGTAGAGGTGAAGTTCTGAACTTGGAGATTCATCTTTTAAACTCTTTAAACTTCCAGCTGTCAGACTGCTGCTGTGCTGTCACCAAGTTAAACATGTGTCCTAGAGAAGTTCAATCACTGATCCACATGTAAACAACAGGGCGTTCTGTCTTTCTAGTTCCTTAATACATGACTGAGAGATGACCATAGTCCCAACATTAAAACAGATTATTTACTACACCTAACCAAAGAGTATTTTCCAAATACTGGTGTAAAAATAGAAAGATTGTTTCAGTCATGTTCTTCTGTGACCTCTTTGACACTGAAGATAGACTCTGGAAGGACTTGAACCCACAAACTACGAATTGTAACTGTGAGAGCAACACTGTGCTGTGCTTAACACGTGAGAAAGAGCCATGTAAATAATTGTGGAAGACAAATAGAAACAAATCATCTCCAACAGAAACATTTTAATATTCTTGGAGCTGATCTCAGGAATGCTATTTGTGGTGATTTCGAGCTTTAGAGGTGAAAACGATCATTTATCTCTAGGTAGAACATTAATTTTCCTTATCAAAAGCCTGTGAAAGTTTCACAAGACAAATATAATTTATGATATTCTTGAATAAAAGAGTAACTTAAAAAATATCGTGAGGTTAGATTGAGGTACAGTCATTGAAAGAAAATTATATTCTACTGTAACTTGTAAGGAAGTTTTCCATGGACTCAGGGTCACCTGTATGTGTGGCTCTGTGGCACAATGGACTTCTAGCTTGTGAAATGAGGGATTGTAACAATTTGAATTTATAATAAAGGTCTTAAGATTAATATTTGATAATTCATGACATTTATGCACTCGTTAAAAGGGGTACCACCCACCTTTAATGGTGGGAAAATATAGAAAAACAAAAGTTTAATTCAGAAATCAAACATTAAGTCAATCTTAAATGAATCAATCTCATATCTCAAGACGAAATTCTCATGTCAGGGATTCCACTTCTGGAAGAACACTAACAAACAAGAACTTAGAAAAATAAATGATCTGTTTATTACAGGATAAACGATGGTACAACACCCATGCAATAAATGAGGATAAGATGAATATAGATACTAACAGATGAATGAAAGATTCTGAGTCAGGCTATGATTGCTACAGTTAATGATAGTGAGTGAATATGCTCTAACATATTAACCTACATTAACTTTGGTGTAAAGATAAATTTGAAGGTTATCTGAATTATGAAGCATGAGACAGCATCAGCCCTGTTTGGAGCTCTGGAGGTTTGGATACTTAAGTGAGGCTGGTCCTCGGAGAAGATGGAGCAGGTTCAGAAGTTCCAGACTACTGGTTCGAGATGTTCAGCTCTGAAGAGGACCAAAGTCAGACGAAGGACAGGCTGGGAGTCACAGCACACAGGTCCAAATGCAAAAACCAATGCCTTATGGATCCTTTTGAATGCTCCTTTGGCTCGCTGCGACACTCTGGCTCAGAGGATGACTTTGGGCCTGCTGGGTGGCATTCTGAGGTGACTTGTTCATCACGCAGATAACCAAGAAAAAGAGGCTCGATGACAAGTTGAAACTATTTCAAAAATGGCTTTGCGAAATTAAAGAAAAATCAATTAATGGCTTACCCTTAAATTGCTATGCGCACAAAAAGTAAAAGTCTCAACTTTTGAACTAAGACGATATTAAAGAAAAATCAACGTGAATGAACACATGGCAAAAAACTTAAAACACTAAGGAAAAGTAAGACAAAGAGAAAACAAGTTAAGAGGGAAAAAAAACAAAAGAGGAAAAAAACAAGAGAGTGAAAAAACAAGAGAGAGCAAGGGCACCCCAGCTTTACTGGTTTTATACTCTTCAGACTGGGAGTGTCTCTAAGTTGTGAGGAGAGAAAGGAGGGGGTCCTGATCTCCAGCTGCAGCTTCCTGAGAGGAGACTTTCAAGAGCCCTGATTGTTTGATCCAACTTATACTTTGGCTAGTAAAGGAGTCAGATCGAATACTCACTCACTTGGATCAATGTTAGAGAATGCTTGGTTCATAATAAAGGATTTGATGTTAAACACAGATAAAGAATTGTAGAATCACATTAACAAACATTCTCATTATGCTTTGAGTGTCACTTTTCAAAGAACACTGATCATGTTAAATTACTCTGGAATTAAACAGATAGTAACACATAGAAACTGTGAATAATACAAGGGTAAACACATGTAAATGAACTTCATAGCAGTTAATAATGGATTCTACGAACCAACATTCAGATTATTAACTAACTAACTAACTACCTAATGGTTAACAAAGCTAAACAAATGATTAAGTGATAAACTCAACATTTCTACACTATTCCTACTAGAATAGGGTTGTAATTCAAACATAATAATTTCAGCTCTTAAAAGTTCATGAAACAGTTTGGAAAGCGGTTGATCTCAAGGAACTTTAAGACTGAAGGATTTATTCTATCAGTGTGAGATCTTGGCTTATGAACATGATAGGCAAATGGGACAAAGACTGTTTTACTGCACATGTTGAGTACTGACAGAAAATCATGGCGTAGTGTCCATCCAACCTGTAATTGGACTAGTTGTAGTTATTGTCTTTGGATTGTAATCACAGAGAGCACGGGAAAGATCCACCAAATGTAGGATTTATGGCTGAGCTGATAACCCTGACGTTTCCCAGTCAAGGTGTGATGCCAGATGTTTATCTATTCGAATGGGTTTTTTGACAGGTTGCCAGTTCTCGTCCTTCCAGAGTCAAACTATATTTGCACATCATTTAAAATGAATGTACAAACACAGTCACCAAGCCTGCAGTGTTCACAGATCACTCTTATGAAGCAAAGGTTGCCAGTTTGAGTCCAATAAGAGTCAAATTGTATTACACGGTATGTATCAAACAGCTGCAATAGTGTAAAGCCAAATGCTGGTTTGCTTTAAACCTGCAGCCGCTAAATCCTTAATATTCGTTGCTCAATATGCAACCGCTAAATCCTTAATATTCCTTCCTGAAATTGACCTTAAATCTTGACAGTGTTTTTCATGCAGACCTTGCGACTCTGCTGCGCAATGTATAGCGCATTGCACACTTAGCATAGCCACTGAGGAGGTTATTTAAAGGTTGTGGGTTCGAGTCCGTGCAGAGCTGAACGCCGGCTCTGTGGCGCAATGGATAGCGCATTGGACTTCTAGCATAACCACTAAGGAGGTTATTCAAAGGTTGTGGGTTCGAGTCCCACCAGAGTCGAACTGTGTTTGCCATCATTTAAAAAGAATGAACAAACACAGTCATCAGGCCTGCAGTGTTCACAGATCACTCTCAAAACATTAATTGAAATGAGGTATGAGTCAAAGGTTGCCAGTTTGATTCCAATAAGAGTCCAATTGTATTACACAGTATGTATCAAACAGCTGCAATAGTGTAAAGCCAAATGCTGCTTTCCTTTAAACATGCAACCGCTAAATCCTTAATATTCGTTGCTTAATATGCAACCGCTAAATCCTTAAAATTCCTTCCTGAAATTGACCTTAAATCTTGACAGTGTTTTTCATGCAGACCTTGCGACTCTGCTGCGCAATGTATAGCGCATTGCACACTTAGCATAGCCACTGAGGAGGTTATTTAAAGGTTGTGGGTTCGAGTCCGTGCAGAGCTGAACGCGGGCTCTGTGGCGCAATGGATAGCGCATTGGACTTCTAGCATAGCCACTAAGGAGGTTATTCAAAGGTTGTGGGTTCGAGTCCCACCAGAGTCGAACTGTGTTTGCCATCATTTAAAAAGAATGTACAAACACAGTCATCAGGCCTGCAGTGTTCACAGATCACTCTCAAAACATTAATTGAAATGGGGTATGAGTCAAAGGTTGCCAGTTTGATTCCAATAAGAGTCAAATTGTATTACACAGTATGTATCAAACAGCTGCAATAGTGTAAAGCCAAATGCTGGTTTGCTTTAAAGCTGCAACCGCTAAATCCTTAATATTCCTTCCTGAAATTGACCTTAAATCTTGACAGTGTTTTTCATGCAGACCTTGCGACTCTGCTGCGCAATGTATAGCGCATTGCACACTTAGCATAGCCACTGAGGAGGTTATTTAAAGGTTGTGGGTTCGAGTCCGTGCAGAGTGAAACGCCCGCTCTGTGGCGCAATGGATAGCG